GAATGAAGCAGATTGTTGTACCACTGGGGTCCAATATGAGTAGTTGTTGTTCCAAAAGATGACAGCATGACCAGAAGGCGCAAAGCAGTCATCCCTTGGTGGTTATGACATCCGTGAGCTAAAATGTTGATGTCAACTTTTTGAATGTGTTGGTGTGATTTGTGTTGGAAGCTAGGTGGGCCTCTAATTTAACTCACAATTTTTTCACACCAATTCCTTTGCATATTCATTGGATGCAGAAGGATTTGAGGGTTCTTCACCTGCACTTCCCAAAATTGATTCTAAGCTAAGAATAAAAAGCAGGTTCAGTTCTCAGTGTGAGAAGCTCATAGAAGAGAGCAAAAGAGAAAATTGCACAGTCCAGTTTCCAGTACAAACTCCCAATTCAAGTTAGGCCATGGAATGTATGTGCACTGAAAACTGAAACAAAACTGTTAAAAGAATGTATGTAATCCTAATATGACTCCCCTTAATCCAAATAATGTATTAACAAAATTCAGTAATTTTACTAATTGAGACCATGTGACACTGAAATTTTTTAAATGATCTTTACCCACCTCTTGTAAAGTGATTCAAGATCCTCTGCTGACAGGTTTTATACAAGTGCAAAGTATTATTATTTTTGACAGTCCTATCTGCATGGATCAAATTGTGTATCCAGCATGTAGAGAAAAAAGATTCTAGAACTAAATTAAGGCTTAGCGAGAGTAAATGTTTAAATCAGTCCTCTTTTTTTTTTAATCTAATTTAGATGTCTTTTAATAAAATAACAGTACCCAAAATAAACATTTTAATATATTTTAAGATTTATTTCATTAACCCTTATTTAAAAAACAACCTAGAATGCATCTCTTTTGTTTCATGCTTTAATAGCAAAAGAGATGGTGTCAATAAGCATGTTATCTCATTAAAGTCCAATAACCATGTTTCTATAATATTACATATGCAATCATATTTGTGTAAATCAGTATTCACTACCATATACTACCCACTGAACTTCTCCTTCTCCCATTCTCACACTAGGGTGTCTTGGAACATATTTTTATTTAATATTTTCCTTTCTAAACTCCTATCAGCTATGATACATTTTGCTTAAAGTCCAAAGCAAAGTTGATCACTTTTAGAGCATTTAAATTATGTAAAGAGCTTTATATTGAAAAGTATATGGTTTGTTCTTCCAAGTGGCAGCTTTGTCCAGTTGGTGAGTTTGCACCATTGAGACTGCTGGACATATCCTTGTAGAGTTATAATTACAAGAGAACTATGTTGGTAATCAGACTTCATTGGGTTTTCTAGATATTTTTATAGAGGTTAATAAAATGAAAAGACAATGAAAGTCTAATACATATTACAGCATATTAAATTCCCTGCAATCTAATGTGTTTGCCATTGTATTGTTGTTAGAAATGTAATGACAGTAGAATTGTTTGTTAGATGCAAAACCTGGAATGATTTTCTTTCCATGGTTAGTCATAGTATTTAAAGCCAAAAGGGCCACCAGATTTAAGTCTGTGAAATACAGAAATATTTATCTTTTTTTCCTCTCAAAAGTATGCATGGTGGAATCTTAATCTCTCCCCAAACCCAAATAGACATGTGTAACTCTCCTATTCAAATATATTCATCAATAAGAATATGGAAAGCCTATATCAGCTATACGTGATTTGTTCCAAAAAGTAGGTATTCCACATATATATAGATTCTAATGTAATACATTAGCTTTGTTAGCGTCTGATTCGGGTGGGCTGTTCATGGAGTAACATATTACTAAAAAAAATGAGGGTGGCAGAATTGGGCCTGTTGTGATTCCATACAGAAGCCTGTGAACTATAATGGCTTAGGGCCAGATTTTTAAAGGTATTTAGGCACGTAAAGATACAGGTAGGCACTTTTGAAAACAGACCTAGGTGCCTAACTCCCAATCAATAGCACCTAGACGCCTAAATAGCTTTAAAATCTGGCCCATAGGTTTAATCAACCAAACCGGATATTTTACTTTTAACACCTTGAGTGAGAGCTAGTGTGTTCGACTGTAACAGCCAGGTTACAGATTTTAATTCCATTTACTGAGCACTCTTCTTCCCCCTTTCCCCCCAAATTGGATGTAATCTGCATAAGACATGGAAGTACAAAGACCACCCAGTTAAAGATCCAGTACTTTAGTCCTTATTCAAGCAAATATCCAACTGACTGCATGGGAATTTGACTAAATAACAGCTGCAGGATTTGGCTTTAAATTGCCATCTAGAATGTTTGCATGACTTTACTGACCCAAGTTCATATATTTTGAGAATTACTCTTAGCATTACTAAACTATTTTCAGATGAAATGCAGTATGTGCATTGTACTTAATTAATACTTACATTTATAAAGCCAGATACTCCCACCTGTAGTCAGTTGAAACGGTTATAAAATTTGTGGGACTACTTGCAGATTGAAGTACTAATCCATGTGAGTAAGTGTGGCAGAATCTGGTCCCTTGTATTTTACATTTTTCAAGTGCAGGACAAATATTAAGCTGTTCCCTAAACAACAGAAACTCAACTGTTAGCAAGTGTACAATACAAAGTAAGGATCTCACACAGACATTTCCAGTTTGTTAAAAATTGTGAACTGTTACAAATACAGTTGAGTGAAACTGACATTTTTCACAAAATGTCACACACACAAAATTCTGAGCCATTTGCATCTCTGAAATGTCACTTCTCATTACGTTTTGTGAAATGACTAGTTCTTCATCCAGACGTGAAAAATGTCAGTACAAAAAGGTATATCTTTGTTTTAAAGACTCTTAGAACCTTTTATGATTGATTGTTTGAAAATAGGATTGCTAACATGCTTCATGTGCTTTAAGCGGCAAGATACAGGAACTATCGCTTCCTCCAAAATTGTTGTTAAAGCTGCTGATTTATCTCTTACTTCAGTCCTCCGTGTATACTTAACTGGACTATATGGAAGAGCTGAGAAAGAATGTTACCCGTAGTGCCACTCCATGAATTTCCTGATGAAGTGCTAACAGCACCTTTGGAGGAGGAGTAATTTATTTACACTCACTCTTCTTTGTATATTTGGATTCCTAGATATCTACCTGCTTGCCATGTTTAACAATTTAGATAATTTGGATTTTCTATACCATTGCTCAGGAAAGTGGTGTTCCTACAGTGATGGATAAACCCTTTCCATTGTGTAGGCTGTGACTACACTATGGGGTTATAGCTACAGCACCATAACTATGCCAATGTAATCCCCTATTGTAGACATGACCAAAGTTGTCAGATTTGCAATTTCTTTAGTCTTGATCCACCCCTGTTCTGACTCTCAAGTTTCCTGTGCCAAGGAAATAATCTTGTTTCACTGATGGTGTGGTTGGGGCTGAGGGGGTAGGTGATGGGTATTTGCTGCTAGGGCCTCCTATTCTTCCATACTGAGGCTGTGATGTCATTGGCGGAGGTTTCTTGCGTCTTGCCCTGAAAGCTATAGAGAACACAATCATCTAAAGCTAGGGAAGACTGATAGCTGTAGAGGGCCACCAGTGACCAGAAAATGGGGCGAGGAAATTCCAACCAATTGAAAGTCAAAACTGTTTACTTAAGAGAAATTGTGTATGGACAGTGTGTAATGTATATGATAGGGCTGTACTGATCTGTAAAAGAGTATAGAGGATAATGAATCTCAATTCTATATACTTATCTTAAAGGGACCATTTTAAATTGATTTTAATTCATAAACTAATTCACAGATGTCCGTGCAAATTCCCTTTAAAATTCAAAGAATACGTTCTGGAAGTTTGGGGAGCATACGGTGTATTCTGCATACATAAAATGCTATGTCCATCCTACAGACTTCTGCTGGCATAGCTGTTAGTCAGGGCACAAAGAAGTGTGATCCCTGACTGATATGGGCTCATTTATACCAGTGAAAATGTGCTCTTCACAGGAATAGCTTGTTTCATTTGGGGTGGTGGAATAAGCTACACTGGTAAAAACATAGCTTTGCTGGTATAGTCTGCATCCATGCTACGAGCTGGCAGAAGTCTAGTGAAGGCATAGCCTCAGCCTTCACAATGGAGTTATGACCAGGGCTTCCATAATACAGGACTGTATCCAAGGTTTCTATATTTAGATGTAATAGAGTTTTGAATTAAAAAAAATCATAGTAAAAGTTAGCTTTTCAAATCTTGTAAACATGTACAGTCTACGTATTTTATTATGGCTGTGCTTTTAATAAAACCTCAGTGCCTCTACAAATGAAGTAGCTGCTAGAACTTGTTTTCAGAGGGCTGAAAATGAGGTAGAAATATAGAGCTGAGTCCTCTTTCATCTTCTAAGGCAACATTATGCATGGGAAGTGAATAATGTGAAAAATATAATTATAGTAAAACTCATATCGTTTTGTTTTAATGACTGTGTTTTCACCAATGCCATAGAAAACACCCAGCTCAGTAGAGAGGTCCTGTGAAATATGTTTGACTAACACATTTTTAGAATTCACATGTGAAGATACCAAGAAGAGAAATAATTGAAGCCTTGTTTATTGGTGAGATGAAACAATTTCAGTTTGGCTATAGGTTCACTTTCTTCCTTCTGCCTCTATATCTCCTTTGTACACCACCACCATATATGCTCTCCCTAAGCAACCAATATATACTATATTGAGTGGGCACGTTTTCTGTTGCATTCCATCCTTGTGTTACATTTATCCTCTTCTGGGCTCCTTGAAGCTCAGAGAATAATAGAAATGATTTTCTTTCTGACAGGTAGCTGTTATTATGTAATGAACTGCAGCTTTTCTATGCTTTGCCTCCACCCAATTATGTAAAAAGTACAGCTTCTGGTGCTGTCTCCAACGTGAAACTGAAAAAACCTGTCTTAAGAGCAGAAGCTGATTCCGTGAATGATACAGGTTTGATCACGCTTGATCAAATACAGTATTTCTGAATGTCAGATGAATGCACTGCTTCTGATTATTCCATAACAGCAGCTTTTCTTTTCCTCCAACAGTTACCCTGCTGTATGTGAATTCCTCCAGCACAATAACTTGTTATCTATACTCCGAGCCCACGAAGCTCAAGATGCTGGGTAAGTGTGTGGAGGGGGAGGGGGGTTCTTGCTTAATAAACAAACATCATTCATACCCATTGGCTTTTGTAGGAAAGGGTTTCCCTGAATCAGCAGGTAAAATAATCCTTTTTAGCAGTCTTCCACATTAAAATGGTAAAGTTCCAAAACCCCCTTACTTTATAACTTTAGTGTTGATACTTAGCACTTATAGGCCTTTTAAAATATAGCTATTTTAACACAAGATTAAAGCCTGAATGTGCACATCTGACATGTTTCCCATAATGACCATTTCGTTATGGTTTTGTAAGATTGTTGCTTTCCTATGGTAATTTGTTGCAAAGCAGCTGTACTTCACCAGTAGTAGTGAAGACTAGAGGGTGATCAACTGCATATCAAGGAAACAAAGGACAACTGTGTGAAAAATGACATTGGAAACTTGTTTTTAAGTGACAGCAACCACAGTGTTTTATTAGTGGTATAAAAACAAACACCAGGATTACAGTGTCTGATCTTTTATGCAACCGTAGCTGAATTACAAGACAGACGCATTTGATCTTATTTCAGGAAGTGGAACATGAGACTTCAAATAAGGGATGTCTCTTTAAAATAAGGGAAGAGGGGTCACTCTAGCAGGAAAAGAGAAAAATGTGTAGCAATTGCTGGCTAGCTCCTTAGCTAAATTTGCAAATGTAAATCGTTTACAGCAGTGCTGGCACTTTCTGATCAGTCTTACTCTGCAGCTGTGTGCTTCTGGGGTTTTCTGCAAAGGCTATTGCAACAAAGCCCCCAATGTGTACAAAAATATCTGCAGACTTAGGGGCAATGTTCTTTAATTAAAGTGCTGGGGGGGGGTGGGGGCGGGAATCTCACTGTTGCTGCTAGTTCCCTAAACCTCCTCCTCTGACCTGCCTGAAAACACTTCTAACATAGTTGGCCTTATATACCTTTCTTCTGAGTCGTGACTAACGAAAAAACCTCTCAGGCCTCATCTGTCACTAAATACTACTGCCTTACACTGTCACAGCCCCCTAAACATCACAGTGGACAAAGAAGTGTCATGACATTGGGACACTCTATGGCCTGGAAGTCCAGACTGAGAGAGAAGCTTCAGACACCAGCATGGGTTTCTTAAAACTTTAATGTGCACCTGTCACCGTGGGTCACAACTGAGAATACCAAATTTAGGACAAACTGCTGAGAAATGGGGCTGACACACCCCAAAACTGGTGGTTATTCTCCCATAAGATATACCAAACCAGCAACAAAAGTAAACTTCTGTCTCACCACACTGGCTAACAAGAAGTCAGAAAAGCAGTCTCCTTAGGCATTCCAGTCCTGGATTCAACACCCAGACTTAAAGATGAGTGGTTCTTTAAAACCAATTTCATCAAACAAAAGGTTCTTCTGATCCCAAAGGACCAGCCACATACCCAGGTCGATATGTAACTCAGATCTTACCCAATAACCACGCTGTTGCCAATCCTTTAGTATCTAAAAGCTAAAGGTTTATTTATAGAAAGAAAGAAAGAGAAAGAAAGAAAGAACAGTGAGAGTTAAAATTGGTTGAAGGAATCAACCTGCATACAAATAGCATAATCATATTCAGCAAATCATACCCTTTCTATAGACACCTTACTTGACACACTTTGTACAAGATTTGTTGCACTCATATAGCAGTGGTAGCAACAATGATCTACATGATCATATTTTGATCATATGATCAGATAACATCACAGCATCCTAAAAGGAAATGGTGTCATTTTGATTAGGAAAAGTATTTGTTTTCAGTATATACCATAGAGCAACCTTTTGGCTATCGCTTATACTGGTACACAGGGTGGGGAGAATAGCTCAAGAAGCCGTCTCATACCCTGTTGCACACAGCCCACTCCCATCATTTGTCCCAAGGTGGCTGGTAGTGGGGTGAGCCCATGGCCCTGACTGCTCCCACCCCCACCTCTCCACAAGCCTGCAGGAGTGAGAGAGCTAGGCTATCATAAAGCACGGTGCAACACACACACACTGAGTGGGGAGAACCTTCTAAACTGAAATTCCGAAAAGCGATTTCAATGAATCGGTGTGATACTTTTCCTTACTTTTGTGGACAATTGCCAAATTCTGCGGTTTCTTTTGGAATTATTAGAAATTATTAGAGAACTAAAGTGCAGTATTGGATATTACTTGTCCCTTGCTGGGGGGAAATTCCATTTTGTTGGTTTGCTTCCAGATTCTGCAGGTGTCCCATTCCATTACTGATTGATTAAATATTGCCCTGCTGAAACAATATGCCTTTGGTCTGTACAAGCCAGCAGGGATGAGTAATGAAAATGTATAGGCATTAGCATGCTAGTCCATGGACTGGACTAGATTTGACATTCCATTGTGAAGCTAAGCTTTTTTTCCATAGGGGAAAGTATATTTCTGGGTGATACTGCATTGCATGGTTGTAAAATGATATAATTTGTAATTTCATGAATGTGCTTTATACTTTATTAATACTGATTTTGAAGCATAACACTCTGTTTGGGGGAGGCTACTATAGAAATGCCTGTGTCCCATGGTGCTCCAAGACATCTGAATTAGTTTAACTATTCTATCTCTTTGAGTATTTTATAATCCCTTTGCAAATTTATTTTGAGAAGAACCCTCCATCAATAGATGAAGGGTGAACACCTGATCCTGTTGAAGTCAGTGGCAAAACTCCCAATGACTTCAGGGAGCCCAAGATTTCACCCGGAATGTGTAATGCTCCTCATTAGTATTTTCTTTCCTACCACACTTTGCATGATTGGGTTTCAGTCGTTAGGAACCAGCAATCAGTGTAGCTGCACTGGTACAAACAACATGGAAATCACAATTTGCACCATTTGAGTTTATCTCTGCTTGAAATCACAGTAATCCCAACTATATGCAAGTTCTAAATCTGTAGCAAATCCTTCATGCATAGCTTTAAAGATAATTTATTTCTGTTGTTGCTTGTAACTTCACATGGTAAAACCATTTGGAGTGATCTGTTGCTTTTTTTGGCCTGTGATAAGTCAGTGACATGTTGTACGCTTAGAGCACTGTACAAATGATTAATAATACTATTAATATAACCTGTCATTTCCTTTAGGTATCGTATGTACAGGAAAAGCCAAACAACAGGCTTCCCTTCACTAATTACAATTTTTTCAGCACCAAACTATCTAGATGTATACAATAACAAAGGTAGGAGAGCTCTCTTCCTTCTGTTGATGCACAGTAGTAGCATTATCTCTTTACACAAACGTTTTATGCAGTTTCCCGTTTTTGATTCTTTGCATTGACTCTTTGTCCTTTTATTAGTTCATGCCTGTTTACTTTGTTGCGCAATATAAATTTAATGAGATGTGTACCAATCAGAGGTGTGTGTGTGTGTGTGTGTATATATATATATACACACACAGATAGCTAAATACTTTTATGTTTCTGTCTTATGAGTCCTTGGATACTTTTGTATTTTGAGTGTCAGTTGTTAAATAAAATTTTATTTGGGGAATTAAATTGGCAACAATTCTAATAACTGAAGGAAGCACTTTGTAAAATCTTATGGTTGAGATTTTCTAAGCCCTCTGCTACTTTTTAAAATAAGCCATCTGGCCCTTTTGTAAGATTAATGGGCGTTATATAGAAAAGTCTCAGTCATATTATAATCTAGGTTCTTATAGAGCCCATAGTATCTGAGCACCCTATTTCATGTTTTGTTAATCATTTTTACATATAGTGCAAAGAGAGGAAAATATACATAAACAAAAAAGCCTGCTGCTTAAATAATATACTAGCCACTCTGTGAAGACTCAACACAACCTAAAATACAAGTGGATGCAGCTTACATTAAGTTACTACAACAGTCACTACAGCACTTACAGTGACTGTAAGTTCCCCTAATGAGTTGCAGAAAAAAAGTGTTCTAAATCAGAGCATTCCAATAACTCCTACTGCTAAATCCAATATACACAGCAGGATATCTTCACTTTCTGTTACTCCAGTTGGAATAAAACTAGTATGTTATGGTAGGCGAACAGGGTGACCAGACAGCAAATGTGAAAAATCGGGACGAGGGTGGGGGGTAATAAGAGCCTATATAAGAAAAAGACCCCCAAATCAGTTCTGTCCCTATAAAATCAGGACATCTGGTCACCCTATAGGTGAAAGAAAATATGGGGACTATAAAGACCTCCATAACTACTTTTTCCTTACCATGTTAATGAGGAAAGTTTCATTATAGACTGCCGTTTCCATGGTCCCGACCTATTAACCCATTACAAGGTGTTTAGCTTTCCTAAGGGGACAGATGGGGTTTTCAGACCTTGCCTGCAGACAAAGAAAGTATTTGGTATAAAATATGCAAAAGAAAAGAGACTTCAGCACTAGCATGATTTTAATAGGTTATTGTATAAAACTTCTAAGCACTTTAAAAAGCTATTATGCAAATGATTTACTATATGTGAGGGAAGAAATTGGTTCACTGCTAGAAGCTAGATTTAGCATATTACAAATACATGTTAACTTGCCAAAAAAACTTATTAAAGGTACACTACCAGCAACATCAAAGCCTTGCTACCAGTAGCTATTTATGCAGAAAGTAAAGCATGTAGGAACTGTGCTTAAGCAAATATATTTTGAGACCTAGCAACACAGATCAGCACAAGAGACTTAGGAATTGGAAGTGCAGTAAAGACAGTGTAAGGCAGTTTTGCAGCATCAACAGGTCAGGGCAAAGAAAAGTGTTATTTGTGGGAGAGGGATTTCTGATAGAGTATATACCTGTAGTTACCCTTAGCGGGTCTATAGTAGTAAAGTAGGTTGGACCAGCATTTCAGATTTGCCTGTAATTGTGTTTCTTAAAGTGTTCGTATTAGGAATATGGGGGTTAGCAGTACAGGCTTTTGTCATTATGGCAAGCATTTGACACACCAGAACAATGATAAAATAGAACTCAGCATCTGAATTTTAGATCCCCAAATGTCAGGGAATGAACAGAGGAATGCCCCTCTATCATATCAGTCTCAGAAATGAGTCATCTTACTTGTTCCGTGATTCCTAGGTATGACAGACCATAGATTAGATAAGATTAGGACATCAGGATGTACAGTAGTGCTATTTTTGCTGGGACAATGGATACAGAAGTGGAAAATTGTACAGTACTCAGTAGTAGTCAATCACTTCTGTTTATTATTGTCAATAAGTTTATATTTTAGTGTCTGACTGTCACTTTTAAAAATTGGGGTTTTTTTTGGCTGAATGAATAATTTAACTAGCTATCTGAAGGCAAATGCTCATTTTGGAGGGTTTTTAAAAAAAAAAAAAAAGATTACATCTTATAACACTGATATATCCACTGGGGAGTTGGAATATTTTGACAAGAATAACAGGATGTGTCTTCCTAAACCCTTTAAAGTCCACAGTGTGTTGCGAAGACAAAAATTCAGATCAGGAGAGCGAAACAACAGATTATGCAAGGGGATCTACTGTACTATAAAAAGCAAGAAAGCAGCCTCTACGTTTATTATTTGTGAGACATTCATTAATGCCCTAGAAAAAGGGGTAAATAGCGTGTTTATGAAATTCACAGAAGACAGCAAAAAGGGAGGTGTTGTGGACACCTTGGAAAAGTGCCTGGTAGCACATCTCAAAATAGAGATTCTTGGGAAATAGTACCATAAGGGACAGAGGAATGATGTAATAATCTGATTTGTTTATCATCTTTGTTTTATCGTATCAAACCTATCAGTTTTATCTAGCATTCCTCACTGCGCTTATATAAAAAACCACTTGTTATCATAGCAACAAAGATGATAAAAAATGATTAGGGTATCATTGCCAGTGTAGGCATGTTCACTACAAGTGACTTATTTGATCTACTGATCAAAGTCCCAAGAACTGGGAATTCGGCTATTTCTCTGGGAAAAATTATTCTATGATTTAAATAGAACTTACTGTTAGGGAAGGTTTTCCTGGTATGTTCAACCTAAATTTTTCCTTTCTATATTTCATCCTGTTACTCTAGTCATAACCCTGTGTACCACATTAAATATTTCCTTTCCCTTGGTTACTATTTCCACCCCCCAGTATTTTTACCACCCCTTTTCCCCAGCCTGTCCCCTCATGCATGAAATGTAGTCACTAGTTAGCCATTTTGTTATATTATCTGGAAGCACAACTCATGGTTCCATTGTTAAAGTTGAGATTGAGCTTTTCACTTAAAGCAGGGATTCCAGTGCTTTGTTTTGTATATAGAATGCAGTATATCCTCCCCAAAATTACAAAACTTATTCTCTGAGCACAGAATGAATTTTCTGATAATTTACAAGCAGGTTGATTTGATTAGTTTGTAAAAATTAATTTTAAGATGGTTCCTATAAAAAAATTTAGCACCCAATGTCAGACCACTTTTTTCCTGAATGATCTTAGTGTACGAATTACACAGATGCTTCAGATGTCCTTTATAGCAAAACTCACTGAAACTCAGCATAGGATACATCTGAAGGATGTCCCTTTAGTATTCTTGACCCCCTCTTCCGTATCATAAATGGAGATGTTTACTGCCCTTGTACATTACACCAACTCTTGCAGCATTTTACTAGATGTTGCCCTCAATTACACCCTAGACAACCCACCAAAGATCACATCTGCACTAGATAGCTCTCCTTAACTCAAATCATCGCTGTTTTATCTTTGCTGTTTGCTTACTGAGCTGCCAGTCATCAGCCCACACTGGCAATGTTAATATGTTCAAATCAATACGAATTAATTTTGTGAGAGATTGTATCAAATGCTATACTAAAATCAAGATATAATTCCTTTCATCCAGTAACTTGGTCTTTCAAGTCTAATTGCCAAGAGTTATTCTTCATGGGTGAAATCCTGCCCTCATTGAAGTTATTGGAAAGTTTTCCATTGACGTCTGTGGGGTTAGGATTTCACCCCATAAACCTATTCTTATTATGGATCGTGTTTTTCTTACCCATATAACAAAAAAGTCCAAAGTAATGAAAAAATCCCTGCCGGTGACTAAAATTCTGTCTTCATAAAACAGAATTAAAGTTTGAGGGGGGTACATGTAACATATTTTACTTTATTAACAGTTGATGTCTCACAAATTACTAATGTTAGTAATGTTAGAACTTTGGACCAGTGTGATTTCCACTTAGTGACATGGCTGATGTTCAAGAGATTCAATTTTCTCTTTTGTCTTGATTGTTTTATAATTGAAGGAATGCATCCTGTGGCTCCCTTTTTTTTTTTCACCCCAGTGATCAGATACCCTGCAAACTAGTGCTCCTGAAAAATTCCAAAGATAAATGTTATTCCAGGACAGTTGGGTCACCTGCAACAGCTAAGGTGCCCGCTACTTTTTTCACCGAGTGTATTGGAGAAATGAGGGAGATAGAATCTCTCCTGATACAATAACTCCTCGCTTAACGTTGTAGTTATGTTCCTGAAAAATGCGACTTTAAGCAAAACGATGTTAAGCAAATCCAATTTCCCGATAAGAATTAATGTAAATGGAGGGGTTAGGTTCCAGGGACATTTTTTTCACCTGACAAAAGACTATATTATATGTACACACACAGTAGAAGTTTTAAACAAACAATTTAATACTGTACACAGCGATGATGTTTGTGACGCTTGATTGAGGTGGTGAAGTCAGAGGGTGGAAGAGGGTGGGATATTTCCCAGGGAATGCCTTACTGCTAAATGATGAACTAGCACTCGGCTGAGCCCTCAAGGGTTAACCCATTGTTGTTAATGTAGCCTCACACTCTACAAGGCAGCACGAATGGAGGGAGGGGAGACAGCATGGCAGACAGAGACATACACCGTGTGAGAGAGAGAGAGAGATGCGCATTGCCCTTTTAAGTAGGCTGACCCAATCTAAGTACACTGCCTTGTTAAGTTCAGCAAGTTGAGACAGTAGCTGCTTCCAGGAAGCTCCCTCCGTCCTGAGCCCTGTCATGTCGTCCGCCCCCCCCCCATGGAGATGTGGTAAGTGGGGTGCAGGAGCAGGGGGGAGGGGGACACCCTGACATTAGCCCCCTTCTGCCCCTCCCCGCACAGCAAGCAGGAGGCTCCCGCAAGCAGCTCCAAGGCAGAGGGCAGGAGCAGCACATGGCAGTGCGGGAAGGGACCAGCTGAACTGCCGGCAGTTGATAACTTGCTGGTTGGCTGCCGCACAGGGAACTTAGGGGAGCAGGGAGCTGATAGAGGGGCTGCCAGTCTACCCTGGTTCCAAGCCCCCACCAGCTAACTCCAACGGGCTGCTCTTCCTGCAGGCAGTGGACAAAGCAGGCGACTGCAAACAACATTATAAGGGAGCATTGCGCAACTTTAAACAAGCATGTTCTCTAATTGATCAGCAACGTAACAACAAAACAAGGTTAACCGGGACGACTTTAAGTGAGGAGTTCCTGTACTCTGAAATTACAAAAAGATCTGAACTAACAACAAGGAGCTTCTCCATTGGTTCAGAAGCTCTCCTTTCCATTAGGGAAGTACCATTAGAGCTATAGGGAGAGAGGCTAAATATCTCATTTCAAGAAACAAAATACCCATTGCCGGGGTGTGGGGGGGAACCTCTAGGGTTAAAAAGGTCAGGTAAACTGGTAATGTTGCTGGGAAGTGTGGTGGTCTTGACACAGCTGCAATTTTGCTCCTTCCTAAAGTACTGTAGACTACCATCTTGTAAACTGCAATAATCTGAGTTATATGAATAAACCAGCTCTTCCTGTGATTATATTGAAAGTCATCTTGCTTGGTTGCTTAACACAAAAAAACTAATGATTTTCTCTACCACATTTGGAAATTGAAAACATTTAAAATTACAAATTCAGAAAAGTCTGTGTGGCACTTTGAAACTACTGTGCAGTATTTTATTCTTTTGTAAATATGATGTTACATAAGGGAATTTTTCTACTTTTTTTTTTTTTTTAACATGTATCTGTTATACGGTGTTTCTCCTTTGCTGTTCAGGTGATTTATAGGGAACTTCACTACCCTTTAACCAGGAGGAAAAGTTTGAAATGAAGTGTCAATTGTTATTTTAAAGCTAATTCATATGGATGTGCAGTTCAAATAGATACATTATTAATATGGTGTAAGTGAGAGTAGCATTTAGATGATCTCAAAATCAATTATTAATTTCCTTCACTTTTTTAAAAGAATACTAAAAAGCATTCATATTTTGGCTGATGTTTCTCCTACTGCCCTATTAATGAATCAGAGGCATTTCTAGAGACCTTTTCCCAAAGTTGCTTGTAAAAATTATTTCTTTAACTTTCTCAATTTTAAACATATTCTTAATGAATGGAAAAAAGAAAAGTGGGGGAGGGAAACCAGCTAAACTCAGTAAAATGATTATTTGTGAGCATTAGTGCATTAAATACATCTTCAAATAATTAAATATGCCTTTTTCATTTGGCTTCCAAAGCAGCATTGAATCATTCTTGCCGCCCAGCCAGTAATGAAATACATGCTTTTCCATATATGAAGAGAATGACTCTTGATCTCCTTTTTGGTGACCTCAGGCAAAATATGAAGAATGCTTATTGAAAGGACTGACATTAGTTGCCCCGTTTCTGTTGAAGTCAGACAAGCAGTGCTTAGCCACCTTCTTTTACTGGAAAGCAGAGTAGCCAACTGTGTGACTATGGAATGCTCAAGAGTCAAACATGATTTGTTAAACAAAAATTGTCTGATTGGGCAAGGAGATTACATAAATTATGTCAGCCGCCTTCTATACCCTGAGAGATTAGGCTCCAGAATGTCCTGGGCCACCCAGGTACCATGATGGTTGGCACAAAATGGAGGGATTGAGAGAGAGGGGTTCTTTTTAATACATCTGAAGGTCACATAGCCCCTTGTTTACAATGTGGATTTAAGATTATTTCTTTGAGGAAATAAAGATAGAATGTATTAAAGCAGCAATACCGTATCTGCTTCACACAGACCAGGTGTGGGAAAGAAGTGAACGGGGGGAAGAGAGATTATTTCTCACCTGCATACGGTATTTTGACAAATGTAGTCTTAAACATTATTGACATATAATATAGTCATCAGATCTTGTGCAAATATTGACTTGAGCGGTATGTCTACATTGCAGCTAGGAACACACCTCTCAGCCTGGATAGACAGGCACTAGAGGGGCTAGAAGTAGCAATGTGGATGTTGTGGCTCAGGCTCTCCAGCTCGCCTGATCCCCCCTAGGCATGAGATTCCAACCTTCAGACCAAGCCACACCATCCACACTGCTACTTTTAGCATGCTAACTCAAGCTCTGCTAGTATGAGTTTGTCTACCCATGCTGGGAGGCTTGTTCCCAGCGGCTGCACAGACATACTTGAAGGCCTCATCCACACTTGCGGTAGCATGTAGGGTATGTGTAGCTACATGCCACAGCGAGAGACATGCTGCGTCCACGCTGCAGCATATCGCTACAGACATTCGCTGTGGCATTGAAAGGCTCTGGCAGTCGGGAGCTGCTGGAGTCTCCTCCTGCTGCCTCTCCCCGGCCAGAGCCTTTCCCCACAGACAGCATCTTTCACTGCAGTGGGGAAAGGCTCCAGCAGAGGGAAACGACACTGCTAAAAATAGCAGTGTACACATGGGAGGCATTGCTCAGACATGTAGAGCCATATAGGATATATACACTAGGATTCTGGCGTGTCTGTACTCTACTTGCCTAAGCAGTACCTCACCATTTGCTCTATTTATACTCATGCTAGCGGGGCATGCAGTGTCTGTAATCTACATGCCACCATAAATGTAGACCTACCCTAAGTTAACACTGGCTATTGGATCAAAGTTGCCCACTATGAACAAAGTTCACCATTAAAGACTTAGCTGGTTTTCAGGCAAATTGAAATTAATTCATATAAAGGTACAGGGTACAGTCTAGTGTCTAGTGTCACCGGATTAGTAATTGTTTGCTGACATTGCACTTACGCCATTGAATTGACATCACATACACCATGGAAGTGGATTGCTGTTAGCAGAACAGACTGAAGTGATGTGGTCTTAACCACTTTAACCACAAGCAGTAAGCATCATAAACAGGATTACGTTCAGAACTATGCTTAAATACTAGTACATAATATACAAGTAAAGTTTATCTAAAAGGTCTTTTAAAGACACACTGTTCCCTTTTTCTTTATAAATTCAATTTTAAGTGACCCTTATTTAAAATATATATATATAAATACACTATCAGAATGGACATGTCGCAGCATCACCATTGTGATGAATGGTGATTCCAATATGTAGTATCTTAGTCCCATATTGAATAAATATTTCATCTGGGTTCTCCTCTAAACTTCATTGTTCAGGGCTTGTGCGTCATTGTGTTATGCTAATAATAACTAAGTTATTTTATATTGGCCATATGAAAGATAACTTTCCCTCCACAAGCACAGAAATATTTAGCTTTTATATTTCAGAAATCTCTATATTGGTTTCTTTTGTTTGATATACTGTAGCACATTTATAGAATTTAAGTTCTATTGCTATTTTTGACCTCTGGTGGGGATTGTCACACATGCAATTAATGTTTCTTTTTCTTTCCTTTCTCTTAGCTGCAGTATTGAAGTATGAGAACAATGTTATGAATATCAGACAGTTCAACTGTTCCCCTCACCCATACTGGCTTCCAAATTTCATGGATGTGTTTACCTGGTCCTTACCATTTGTTGGAGAGAAAGGTTGGTAACTTGCTGTGCTCGTGGAAGCCCCAACATGAAGTGGGATTGGAGGTTAGGGTTACCCAAGCACCACTACCATTAACAGTTCCAGTGGGCTGGGTTGCATGGCTGTAAATAGCTTGGAGGTGGATCTAAGAGAGAGGCTTTTTGAGGGTGTAGTGATGAGGCTACATCTGAAGTAACACTTCAGGGAGTGCAGCCTTGACCATTCCCACATTCTGCATCTTTTATGATTTTTGCTTTTTTCAGAGCAGAGTAATAACAGCTGTGCCATGATCAAAGTGCTCTGGAAATAGGTTTGCATTTCAGTTGGAGATAAAAGTCATGGATTCACTTCAATTTATTTGATGAACTCTTTGGGCATTGTGATATTGCCATTTGCTGGTTGGAGAAGACCACACCAGCTGTGTCACTGTTATATATATACTTCACCAGCTGGCCTCTAACCTGCTGATGCAGTCATGCATTTCTCCCTTGAGCAGTAAATTCAGATCATGTCACATTGGTACCCACTGTGCTCTTCTCTTTCACTTGGTTTTCTGGGGGGGCGGAGAACCCCTGAAATATACGACATCTCACTAAGCTGTCCCAGCCCTGAAACGGCCATTAGTTTTGTGCCTTACCATACTACAGAAATGTCATTGTTGGACAATGACATAGGGGCTTTGTGACCACATTAAGCTGTGACTGGCAAGTACACAACTGGAGGCTAGACCGCTTTGGTCCCAAACATGAAATATGAGTATTTAAAACCCAGCAGTTCATCTGACTTAAAACTAGAGAGCTATGAAACTTGCTTTGATCCTTGCAATGTGATACAATGTGTAGCTGCAACAGCAGTTACTGCCAGAAAGTTAAAATGAACTCTTACAAGCTGCTTGGAATAGTACTATTTTATCTTAATAGGCAACTGAAAATGCAGCCCACTGTGGCTTTACTTACAGTCATGATCAGCTCAGTTTTCAGTTACTCATTTATACTCTAAACAGTGGCTCTTTGAAAGAGTGGTTGAGGTAAAGCCAATAGAGGGATGCCCAAGGCCAGTGTGAACAAGACAGACAGTACTGAGGGCAGTCTTCATTGACACTGCAGGGTGTGCTAGCAAGGCATTTGTTGTCTCCATGCGTGTTTCCACTGATAGAGGAAGTTCTGTAGTCCTTGCTGATGTCTTTTTCAGGCTTTCTAAAAGACAGTAAAATGAATTCATTTTGCTAAGCCATAAATATGGCCAATCCCAGTTTTCAGGCAAATCATGCTTTCTGGCTCACGTGTTAGACCTTTGTTGCATATTCTGCACGTGGTCCCCCAGAAAACTCCTACAGACCGTAAGGAACTATTTGGGGCGGGAATGCGGAACATATAGTAAAGATCCACATTGAGCATCTGATCACAGGATTTCTCCTTTTCTTCCTGTTTTCTCTTCCCTATTTTCCATGTCCCACGCCATGCTCAAGTCCTCAGTGATACTTCTGGTACTTTGACTGAAAATCCAAAATGGGTATTAGAGGAATGTAGCAAAATAAAGCTGCTGAACATATGTTTTTGTGCTCTACATAGGGTTTTTTTTTTATTTCTTTAATAGATTTTTTTCCCCTCAAAGGCCAACCAAGGTAGGAAGCTGTATATGTTACACAGTGTTAGTTACACCAGTCCTTGTCACTGTGGAAGTGTTTCCACTAATACTTCAAGTGAAAAAGATAAATGCCTGACTAATTTATGAACAATAGAGTTCTGTTCATCCTTTTAATGTGTCAAACCACTGTGGCTATCACAGAAGAGAATTTTTAGTAACCACCCGATTTGAAATTAAATCTCCAACCTTTATAGCTAATGCAAGTCCAGACATGCCTGGTAACACTTTTAATGATGCTTAATACATGTAGATGTAGTGGAGTTTTTCACTTGTCTATCTGCTAATGATTTGACATTTTTACGTAGTAACCCAGTCTTTTCTAGAATTCTAAATCCCATCTCCTGGCGTGAGTTTTGGCTGTTTTTGCACTGTACACTCTCTGGTCAGTCTTTCACTGCCACTGGGTCTGAAATGGGCTAAGAGTGGTTTAGGAACAGCTTGAAGCAGACTGCTTGGAGTGCAAGTTACAAAATAAAGAAATTAAAAATATTGCTCTTTCAGCAATAATGAAATATCTACAGTAAGTCCTGACCTTAAAGATACTGTCAATTTACATTAGCCATAGAACGTTAGGCTTTGTTAAAATAAAATAAATATTAAAAAATATTAATATGAACAGGATCATTTTCATGATCTATTTTATTATTTATTCAGTACGGATATCTTAGTTGCTTATAAAACCTCCAGGTCTGGGAATCCCAAACTACAGCATTTTACCCTAGACCAGTCTAGTTTCATTGTCCAACCTGAGTGAAAAGACAAAACTAAAACTCCATGACCAAGGAAAATTTAAAGCAGGATTTTAAAATTATTTTGTTTTGTTGTAATCTAGGTTGCTGCTAGTGACTCAGAGAGAACACGCTTTTTTTTTTAAATATAAGGGTCTTATTATTGCAGTGTGCCTTTAAATTTGACCAGTTTTTACCAGGAAACCATATCAACAACCCCTTATTAACCACATGAGATCTTTGGACCCAAGTTTATATTACTACAAATATAATATAAGGTGCAAACAGTTTAAAAATTGGATGAGGTGCTATTTGTTTGCTTATATTCATTAACACTACTATGCTACAGCCTGCTCTCAGACTGATGAGGAAAACTCACCATTCATGTTTCTCATTTGTTTTTCCTCTCCAGTGACAGAGATGCTGGTAAATGTGCTGAACATCTGCTCAGATGATGAATTAGGGTCAGAGGAAGATGGTTTTGATGGTAAGAGCTTTTTGCCCTCCATTGAGATTGTTTGTTGGTTTGTTTTGCTTTGAAATTATTTGTAAGTCTCAGTTACTAACATTAGGGATAGTGTCCTGGTTTTCTGGATCTCATTTAAGTTCTTTCATGCTGCTGAAAACAACAGTTTGTGCTAGACGTCAATAGATTTGCATAATGCATGGTTTGGAGAGAATTTATTAAACTCTCCCCTTTGCCTACTTCCCACCCAAGCCAAAAGAAAAAAAGTTACTTGTCCTAGTTTTAAAGAAAGAAAATAATACTTTGACTCCAAGTTTTGCTGAATATCAGGGGCCAGGTAGTGCTGTTGATTTTTAAGCAGAGCTACCCAATGCTTCCAATGGGGAGTTTTACTTAGAATCAATGGCCTATATGGCCCAGAGTGACTTTCTGCTGCTTCTGGAATGCTAGATACTGCAGATTTGGGGGGATGGTACCCAGGACTGCAGAAAACTCTCCTTTGGATCCTTGAGTCATTAGAAAACAATTTGAACACAGTCACTGGCTTAGGAAGGTTGTTAATTGCAAACACAGATATAAAAGGGACATGTTGCTGACCCATTCTTTCTGCACAGAAAAGAGGAAAATCTCCATTAGTGCTCCAGAGAATTGATACTATATGATGATGTGACCTCAGATCCCATTGACTACATTGTAAAAGGCGCTCAGTGCCTTTGGGATTTGGTCCCATGGAAGTAAATTAATTTATTCTATTATCCAGTGTTTCCTGTTAGAATTAGTACATGGTAAGTGAATACTCACATTATATTAATAATCCCGTAGAGCAGTCTTTGTCTGCAAGCAAACCTGTACTGTACTTCTTTTTATCTTCAGACTAGTGCTCCATGATTCCTTGATCTCTTAAAAAAACACTTAGGCACTAAAGAGAGAGGTGTGGGCGGGGGGGACATTAAAACTTGAGGGAAAGAAAGAAAGAAAATCAGAACACAAAGCATGAAAAATATATCACTACGGAACATAAACTAAAAGGAATTTGGTAATAGGTTTGTGGAGAGGAGCAAAAAAAGAGGAGGGGTGAAAAGTTTTATCAATAAATAAGGCTGAGACAAACATTTCATGAATTTAACAGTTATCAGTTAAAATGGCATCTTTTTAAAAACCTCTGTTTTTCTTACATGAAGAGAATATGCCATTGACTTCTACAATTCACAAACTGCAAAGGAAGGGGAAAATAATTAGTTTGTGTCCTCTCTTTTCTGAAAGTTGTTTTGCCATTGAAGCCAATGGAAATTCCACTGGTGGAACAGCTACACAATTGGAACTTTAATAGTTCTCCTTGAGGATGAGGCAGAGAGAGTGCTTCTATTTAAACTGGTAATCAGTGCAGAGAAGAAACACCTGTTTGACTATTTTACTTGATATCTTTCGCTTGTGAAATGTAAATAGCCAGCTATTTTGCAGTTAAAACATTGTGTGATGATGTATGAAGACCTACAGATATACCAAATATAAATATAGTAGTGGGAGAGCCGTGTTCTTGTAGGTCCCGGTTCAGGAAAGCACATAAGCACATATCTAAGTCCCATTGACTTGGGCACCAAAGACAAAACCTTTCAGGGTGGGATTTTCAAAAACACTTAGCATTGGCCTAACTCTGCTTCTGTCAAGTCAATGGTCCAACTCCAACTGACTTTAACGAGAACAGAGATAGACCAATGTGAGAGCTTTTTAAAATTTCAGTCTAGATGTTTAAAAGTGTCTATGCAAAAGTTACTTCTTAGCAGAAAGAGACCAAGATGATGGCCACAAGTACAGTGGAGAGACTTCATAGGCCTTTCAATGCAAGTACTTTTGTGACCTAAAATTCTACCAAGCTTATCAAATGAATTCACTGTAGAAGTAAAAATGCTCTATGTTCACTGTTTCTTTTACATTACTTGGTGTTTGAGTGGGAATGTGCGGCATCTGTTTTGCAGAGAGATATATCATGCCAGCCTTCCCGTTTTAAGCTATTTCACTGCAGCATTGGTGTCTAAGCAGGGAAAGCAAACTGGAAGTCTTTTGGCTTGCAGATGTGTATGTTAAATTATTTTCTGCATTCATATTAAGTTTCCAAATAGGAGCAATTAAATACTTCCCACTTCTATAGGTTTTTAAGTTATTGTCTAAATCTACTGAGGATTATTCTTTCTGTTTTTCTTTCTATTGCCATAGTCCCTCTGAGCCCCAGAAATATTAGAATAATTCTGTCCCTATCAAATACTATGTCATACCCAATACATTCACAGGAAGAAGGTATAGATGAGACTAAAACACAGGTTAGCTCATGTCTGTTTGACATTGTTATCCATTCCTAGTTGTAAAATGCAAACTATGGCCCTGATCCTGCAATCTACTCCGCTTGGGTAGAACCTTATGCCTGTGCAAAGCCCCAGTGAAGGCACTGGAGCTTTTTGTAGGTATAGGGAGTTGCCTGTGTGGAGTGGCTTGCAGGATCAGGGCTTAAGTGTGCATTTGTGTGGGGTTTGTTTATTATTTATTTATTTATTTATGTAATAATAATTTCACAATGCATTCTGAATGATTTCTACTGCATTGTGACCTGTCTTTACATCTGAAATATCTTGAGTTCCATCACTAGGAAAGGCTGTGTACCCTAGCTTCTAGGGCAATATGAGGAGTATTTTCCTTTCATTTGTGTCCTTGATGTAAGCTGATGATTATTTTAGCTTCTTGTGACTACACTTTTGTAGGGTCTTTGCATTCATTCCCTTATAATGTGTCTGAATATGTTCTGTTTGTTCCTTCTTTCATCTACTGTTCAGCCTCCTAAAAGAATTGTACCTTGGAAAAGAATGCCTGATAGTTAAAATAACACATGCATTTTGGTTTATGGAATAGTTTTCTTTAACATGACTACTTCAGAATTCTTTTGCACCATCTGTAGTTTCCAGAGCCTACTACTGCCATATTTCCAGGGCTTCATGCTGATTTTGTTCCTCTCCATTTGATCTATACAAGCACTATCCCTGGTTCCCACATAATTGACGTGAGAGCCACAGAGGCTATGCAGCGTTTTTCTTTGCATTTCCTCGTTGACTTTCATTATGTGCATTGAGAACCAAAAGCACTGAGCAGGAGGAAGGAGAATGATCTATCATAATATTTGAGCTCTCAGCATCCACTAGTTCTCCTTTCTTAACTTCTATCCCTCTACCTCTCCCACATCACCAGCCCCTTCCAGAATTAAAGCACCAAACCCACCCAACTTGACTGCATGCTGTTCTTGTGAATCAGCAACAGTGACCTGGGTCATGCATGTTCCAGTCTGCCATCAGAGTATGTTGATGTGAAATAATAGCAGGCAGTAAATTTAATTTGCTTAAAGGAGATATTTATCCGGTCCTGATCCTCATTCACTATAGGCAGTGTCTATTAATGGGTGGAGGGGGGGTCCTAAATAACATTTTTAATGCCCTTTCAAAATGCTTGTATTCCATTGGCTGGTTGCATTGGCTTTTTAATTTTATCTGCTTTAAAGACACAGAAAAGTTAAATCAATAATATAGCAAACTTGGATAGTTTTCCCTTGCCATCCTATTTTTCCCCTTCTTTCCTGCTTGTCATGGTATGTAACCTGTTACATCAAAGAATGTCTTGGGTGAATGCTAAGTAGTGTGTTGTATGGTTTGAACATCATACATATCACCTAGCAACGGGAGTACTTCTGACTAACCAGCATACATCCAGAGTACCATCATATTTTAATTAGCAGCATTTCTGGCCTAACACATTTGATTGAAATAATTAAAAACCTTATGAGCTACTAATTAAAGTGATGCAATAATATAATAGACAACTTGACACAAACGTACTGCTTGCTTTGTGTGCTGCACTCTCATGATCTGTCACAAAGAGGTTTCTTAATTACCTGGCTTAATTTTCATGTCACAAAGCACCTTCAATGTTGTAGCTCAGGTTTAAAACCCTGCCACTGAAAAAGCGGCAGTCATAATTTTAAGTGCTGCATTTAGTCACCAGTTGGGAGCTGTGGGGCTTGGTGAATAAAGCAGTATGCCTCAAGACTAAACTGAGTTATTAAGCGAAATGCAGTTTTGGTGCTCAAACTTCCATTCCACTGTGGACAGTAATCTATGAAACATTCCCACTGGACACTGATCAACACAGTGATCGTTATTTGGGGGCAGACTCAGAAGTGAGCTGACATGAAGACTGGATTACCTTTAGGAGAAGCCACTGTCTTATATCACAGCTAAACCTATTAGTAGTAAGACAGTGTATATTACTAGCTGCATATATAGTAGTCTCAGCATCACAAGTCAATCAGTCCCTTAATTGTAACAAAGGACAATTTTTTTCCCATAAAACCAAATGAGAAAACAATAGATATTGCATAATAATCTCCTTGGGTAAGTGGGAAAGGAGAATTTTATGTATTTGTTTTCATTTCTGGAAGAATATTCATTGGAGGAATACTGAGATTTTCACACTTCTTCCTGACAACGTTGATGCTATCCCTACGGGACTATTTAGCAGTGGTGTGTAGAGAGCAGTTCCTAACCTATGTGACAAATGAGTGCTCCAGTGGAAATGATGTGCCTGGACCCTGATGGCTGCAACTAAATTGCATTAAAAATGAGCTGTTTTTTATTAAAAATATTTGCATCCATAATATTTGCTTCTATTTGATTACTATAAATTGCTTAGTGCGAAATCCTCTGGTCTGATCATACTGGGAAATGCGTAAATGCAGCATGCATCATTAACTTTGGTGGAGGTAGCACAGGCACATCTCCCATGCTGATCAAAGCCGATGGCTCACGAGGGTGATATCAGCTTTGCTTTCACCCTGAAATTTCAGAAACAGGGCAGTTGGTGACTCATATTTTAATACTCCCTGAACTGCCTTTAGCCTTTGGGGTGTGCATGCATTTCTGATATAGACTGGAGGTATCTCCTCTCAGTACTTGGGGAGAAGAGATCTCAGCATGGTATACAGTATTACTGGGATGGTTTATGTGGCTTTCCCAGAAGTGGCATCTCCAGCCTATTCAGCCTGATGAGAATATCAAATCAGCAGGTGCATTATAGGAGGATTTAAAAAGCATTGCATGTATGGATGGCAGGTTCAAAATTTAGGATTAGTTTCTGATTGTCTAGCTGCATTTTAGTTCACTGCACAATTTACTAACATTAAATTCAGATTAAGCAGAACAGTATTTCTTTTCTTCTCACCATTAAGTTCTGTTTCTTTCTTTTTGGCTGTTCCCTACCTAATTTGTTTCTTTTCTGTTTTTCAGACTTTACATAAATATTGCTTTTCCATTGATGTTGTCAAATGTTCTTTATTATTTTTTTTTATTCTCCAAACTTCACTGATCCGTTTCTTCCCCCTCCCCCTGGAATTTCATAAGAAGATCCTATTTATGCACAGAAGAAAGGTATTAAATTAGTTAGAAGGGCTTACATTTAATTAATTTTTATATTTTCCTAGTGCTAAATACAGTTTTTAAATTATTGGGATTTTCTATAACATCAAGAAGGACTTAATTGTTTTTTTTTTCACTCAGTAGCATTATCCATCCATTTAGCCCTGCACTCACAGAATATTTTAAGAGACTATACTGATATTTCCTTGCACTGTTTCTAAGTCTGAAGGTATAAATCACATATCCAGGCAAAGTAAAATATCATAGGTGTCAAACAAGCTGCCTATGCAGATTGCTGTTCACTATATCAGGAGCAATAGCTGCTTACAAAATAATATTCAAAATGTTTGAATAAAAAAACCAGATTTTAACTTTGGCTGTGTTCCTGTCCCCCTTTATGCAAATACTCTAGCAAATTAATTTTCTGGCAGGAATTTCTAAAGAACAAGTAAATTTTAAGTGATATTAGAGAACGTATGTAAAGGGTGAAATTCACCTCTGCAGATGGCCAACTTGCAGTCTATGAACCATTTAATTCCCACTTAAGCATGGATTTAAGTCCATCTGAAGTAACACACAGGTTTTGGTGTATCCCTTTTTACAGGGGTGAAGTTGGAACTTATAAACCAAAGTATTTACACCGGAAACTTGATTCTAAGAGTTGTTTTTATAATCAGGGAATAGAAATAATACCATGTGACCTATGTGTCCAATCAAAATTAACAAAACAATCTCAAGTTGTGACTATCCTATACTCAAAATTGCTCTTAAATAAGCTATAGACACGAGTTATTCACAGAAGGTATTTGGCAAATAATTTTGAATGGCAAATAAAAATTCAAAAACATAAATTACTTGTAGGCAATTTGCAAACAGAAAAAGATACATTTTAAAACTATTTGCTCGCCTTTACTATTCATTAGAAGGTGCGACTGAGTCAGAAACTTCTCAGAATTAATATTTTTAACAGTATATTATGTGCGTGCTATCAAATTGACTTTATTTTACTCTGAGCCTATTATCTGGTATGGTTAAGTACAGTTTATACTTAGTTTTATTTTTACAGATAAGATTATTTCTTGCTGTTTTTTCTAGTTCTGAAAAGTAGTTGTTTTGTAAATTGAATTTTAAACAGTGATTGAAGAAATAAATGTACTTTTAAAATCAAGTAGTGTGGGTTTGTAACACAAAAGAAAAGGGATGCTCTCAGGTGATTAGAGGTCTAAAGACAAACAGAGTAGGTGGAGGCTGTTTCTTAAACAAGAAAAAAAGAGAAAGAAAAAGGAATAAAAACTGTCTTTCTTGAGAATTCAATTCTAGTTGAAGAAAACTGAGATTACATAGTAGTTCAAGTAGAAATAAGCCCTTGTAATCCCTGAAGAAGAGAAATTGACTACTGTTAAATTGTCATTTAAATCTTCCATTTAACTATTTCTAATATTAGGTGATCCTTGTTTCATGGTGATGACTTTTAACCCACACTTCCTTATTGTTTAGAATGATTCACTAACACTTAACAGAACAAAAGGTAGTCTTTTATTGGAAAGACCGTTCTAAAACATGTCTTCATTTTACATTTTAAGATACAGACTTGTGATTTCCGGACAGGTGAAATAGTTACTCTGTTTTATTAAAAATACCTGGAAACAATGGTATGTTTAATAGATGTCCCAAAACAGTAAAAGGCAAAATGTTCATGATTGATGATGGGGCTCAGGAGCTGTACATAAAAGCACTCCTGTGCTTGTTCATACAGTTACAACACTTGAGCACACAAATGGTGGTAACTGAATACATGTATTTGGTTGGGTGCATAACTTGCACATGTATTTTCCTGAATGGTTGTGAAATTATATGCACCAATCAGAATGATGTTTTGTGTGTGGAGCCCATGCCTACATTTTTGAAAATGTGCAGTATTTGGGGTAAAAGGTTAATTTCCACCTACTGCATGACATGTTGCTGTGTCAATCACACAGTTTGTCTGTTACTACATAGTACAGTTCTTGGCATTTTCTTTAATGAAGGATGAAAGAGTTGGGCTTATTTCTGGTTCTGAAAGCTTTGAGCTATTGTTCATAGGAGCACAGAAAATAAAATAGACTAGCACAAGTATGGGGAAAAAATTGTAGACTCTTGTCACAATTTCTAACACATCTAAATAACCGTCCTGCCACCTAGACATCTTGTTAATACTAGTGAGTACCATCTTATAAAACTTTGTGTTTTCAGTTGTGCTCTTAGTCCATCCTGAGTTTAGCTGCAATTGAGAAATTGGCAGTAGCTTATTAAACAAGATAGGCAACTGAGCTGGGTTGTATAACAACTGCATTGCCATCAACTGAAATGTGTGGAAAACTCACAGATTGGGAAAATTATCTCACTGCAGGCTCTGTAAAGTGCTCAGCAAATCTTCTATGTAGTTTTATCAAAATTCTCCAGTTCTCTATAGGATACTTATAACTACACAGGGAGAGTGTGAAATCCTGGTCTTAATGGGAGTTTTGTCATTGGCTTCAGTGATGTCAGGATTTCACCTTGAATGCTTTTAGCTGTAGTCACTGTATATGCTCCAACTGTAGAGAAGCAAGATACATGTTAGAGGCTAGGGGCGCATTGCTTTTTGCTGGGCTTCCATCTATCATACCCGTTGCCACAGTATCTGAGCACCTTACTCATCTACAGGTGATTGCAAGAAGTTCTCTGTGACTGTTTGCCTTCTCCCACCTAACTGCATTATTTCCTCCCCTCACCACCACCGTTCTGGCATCTGTGAAGGAAATAGTTGGGTGGTTAAAGCATTGATAGGTATTTCATTAATTGAATGTGAATTGTAAATAGGAATTTTCATTTAATTTTCCTATTGAATTCTGGGACTGAAAGATTTGCATTTATGGAGTATTTTTCTTTTTGCATTCGGAGCTTGGACAGCTAAGACTTCGGTTTACATAGAAGTTGTCTGTTTCTTGGACATTCAGCAAGTTCCATTTTTCTTTCACTCAGAGCTCTATAGGAGTGCACTCCTAAGATGATGATGATCATTTGAAGATCTGGTACTTTTTTATAATGTGGGCTTTTATAAACTGGAGGTAATTTTTTTTTAAAATATCAGAATTTTGTTTGCCTGACTCAAGTGGTTATTTTCCTTGGAAGTGCATACGGTATTTGTGCTTTGTGGTAATGCTGAATTGTAACTAATTCAGTGTGCAAGACTTCCATAAATAATGTCACTAATTAATGTAGCGTTAAGGTTGACTACATTGGCTCATGTCAGTCCAGAATGTCAAATGCACCTGTACATAAGCCTCTAAAAATCTGGAACTATAGAGATAAGATAATGGTCCCATGGGACCACACTGCTACTGCCACACAACTTTAAATCTGCCCTCTGCAATCAGCAATAGGCACCCTGTGACAAAATCTGGCATTTTCTGTGTTGGGCAGTGTTATTCTGTGTTGTATCTAACAACATTATTCCTCTCCATACTTTCCTACTGACGCTTGCTGTGTTAGCTGTAGCTGGATTGATCCAGAAATAAGTTGCAGCAGGTTGCCGGAGCTCTGAGAAAAGGTGCAGCTACAGCTAGAGGAAATAAGGATCCCGTTTTCCGGGTGGTGATATGCAGGAAGCCAAAGTCGATGATCGCAATGGCCCCTCTTTGGTCTAAAATCTAACAATGAATAAAAGAGTCATAAAAATATCTGTGGAGTTTTAAGGCTATTAGAGTGGCTGCCACAGTCACCTCCAGAAACTGATGTTCCACTAGGTATGTCAAGATGACATGGGACTATGAGTGTTTCATCCCACATCTGTGCTCTCTTACGTATTGTCAGTGCTCAGCAGAACCCTTCTTCTACAATGACATTCACACAGTGCCATGCGCCCTATCTTCCCTCTGCTGCGCAATTGCCCTGAGGATTTCTAGCTGTCTGGTGGTACACATGACACTGTGCCAAAGGCTCAGGACTATCCAAAGATGCTGTCCCAAAGGCAATCCCTAAGACAAAGATGAATAGGTATTAGCACCAGGCAAGCCTTTGGTGGTTTGATTGGACCAGGCAAAGTGGTTGAAAGTAGGTTGTACCGAATCTTAATCTTTATCCTAGTCAAGACAAGGCCTGAGAGTTTTCCCCACACTATGCCTGTATATGTTTCACACTGTCCTCCAAATATTTGGGATGGGTACAGTTATATGATCTCCCCCAGGGACTCATTGGGGCATTGCTGAAAGGGGGGCAGAATGCCGTGTGGGTGTGCTGATGTAGGAAACGTTGCCTTAATCCTGTATCTCCCAGTTTTGGAGGTTTAAGTTTGTTTTACCTTAACTACTTCATGAGGTCATCAGAGTTTTAAATGTAGGTGCACTCAGCTTCTGGAACAGTACATGGCATTGGCGGTCAACCTCTGTTTTAATGACATTTTGGGGAATTTCCCTTGTCTTTTGAGGAAGTAGTGGTAGTGTGGGGGACATAACTGAGTGGCATCTGTATGTGGGGGACAGAAGGGAGAAGGTCTTCCTGGGAACACCTCACCACCACTCAGCTATTAGTTCTGTCCTCCTGGCTGTGCCATGTCCCTACTGGAGCTGGAGGGGTCATGTGGAGGGGAGGGAAAGTGGTAACCAAAGGGCTATAGAGCACATCTGCCAGGTGGAGATACCATGGAAGACAGGAGGGTAGCCCCAGATTTCTTAATTTACTTCATGGGCTAGTGTAGGGGGACAGGAGTTTGCACAACCCACTGCAACATAGCTGTGAATTGCCCCATTCATCTCAATACATGCTCGCTTCCCCCATCTTCAAAAATCTACCCCAGCCTCTGGTGTGAAATATAAATTTTAAGACCAGCTCCCTAAGCATGTGGTTTTCAGGGCAATTAGAATATTAACATCAGATCTTTTGAGTGCAATTGTAGTTGAGGAACTCCTTAATCAATGACACCAAATTTGAATCACACAGCATACCTGTACCCTTGTTGTGGTATTACCAGTGTTCAAGATAATCTCACTGTGTGCGTGGATTTTAGAGTACTTTGAAAATCAAAAGAAGTCCATTCTGTGGAGGCTTTATCTTGGGAACCTTTTGATCAAATAACCCCAAATTTGTATTGCAAGTTCTCTTCCAGCCTCGATTTTAGCATGCCAATTTTAAGGCAATATACCTCTGCATGTAGATTTTAGAGCACTTTGCAAATTATGTAGCGCTCATGGGATGGGGGAGTGAAGCGGAAGCAAATGGCTGCATTTCTGGAACCCTTGATCAAGTGACTCTCAATTTGCATTACAATAGCTACATTAATTCCTGTTGCTACATATGAGTTTTCAAGACAATCTCTGTACGTATGGAAATTTTAGAGCAATTTAAATATTAAAATCAGCTCATTATGAGAGGGGGCTGTGTCTCAGGTACCACTTGATTAAATGACCTCAAAGATGCACCACTAATTCTAACCCTGACCCAGTGGAGGTACCATAATTATCAAAACAACGTTCGTATGCATGTGGATTTCAGAACACTCTAAAATATTGACTCGTAAAGAGAAAGCGCTGTTCTTGGGGCAAAACTTCCAAAGAAGCTCTTTAGCAGCTCGTAACCCAAAGCAAAATTCAGGCAAAAAGTAGTAATGTGTCCAGCAGACATTCTCAGAAATTTGCCAAGGGCAGGACTCAAATACATATTCCTTGGGGTCTGCGACTACAGCCTGTTGCCTTCAGCTACCAAGTGACTCCGACATGAGGGCCCCTGTACACACATTTGTCCACCTTGGAGCAGCAGTCTTGCAGAGTCTTCACAGATCATTTGGTGTAGCACATCGCCCAGGCTCGTGTCAGTTTCTAGAGCTATCTTTAACACCTAGTAACTTCTAAAAAGTTGCTTCCTCGATGTGGCACTTGATGCTAGCTGAGATCAGACCTAATAGGGTGGTATTAGGTGATGTGGACCAGTACAGTAGTTTGAACCACAGGTGTGAGCAAAAAAAAAAAAGAAAAAGTTAACTGGAAATTATACTGTCATATTTTTTTTTAGGGGCACTGTATCTCAGGATCCCTTTGCTCAAATTACCCCAAATTTGTACTACTAACCCTAACCTGGCCCCAATGAGAAGCAGCTATTTTCAAGGAAACCTCAATACATATATGGATGTTAGAGCAGTTAGAGAAATCTGCTGTTAAATGGCAAGCTCATTTCAACCTTAATTATAGTGGTGTGCTGCCAGCACACTTAAATGAGACCTGAACATATTTGCACACTCAGACCTTCCTTCTTTCACCTTGGGTGGTCTGTTGTTGTGGCTTGGTGACCTTTCCCTTCCCCACCAACATGCCTTTAGGTGTAAGCAGCTGGTCTGCTCCCCTCAGTCAACTGCTTCAGGATGTGGGTGCAACGTTGGAGGAGTGGGGAAGGAGAAGGGCAGTGAATGCAGACAGGCTTCCCTTCCGCCATTCTTCATCAGTAGGCCCCAAAAGGCTCAACCTGTATCCCTCATGTCTGTTCATAAAGTGCGCTTATAGAAGAAATCATCTGTTCCACCCCAGCTTGCAGTGGACTGTTTGTGTAGACAAGCCCTTAATGTAATATCCTCTAATATGTAACAATGTAATGAGGCTGCTCCATCTCAGTACTTCCTGGTATTGTGAGAGCATACAGGTTTTGGCAACAGGATTTGGAGTACCAGAAAATATTCTGTAGCAGCATATTAGATGCATATTAGATGCTATAGCAATGAAGGAAAGAGAATAGAGAGTGAATGAGTTATAGATGTCCAAAAGCAAAGGAAAGGACTTTATCCCAGGGACAGAGGCCACAAATTGAAATATGTGCTAATGCCTAATATTATATGATATGTTTTGCTATGTCTAATGAAGCTGAGCCATAATTACGAATTGTCTATTATTTTCATTTGAAGTGGCAAGATTAAGAATTACATTTAAACTGTGTCATTTTTGTTAACCGTTTCTAAATAAAACCTTGAAGATATTTCAGGGTACAGATACTGTTATTAATTCAATGCTGTTTTTAGCACCTTGATTGACTCGTTTTTCAGGACCTTGTTTTTACCATGATTTGGTGAGGTTCCCAACTTTTGAAGCACAAAATGAATTTACAGGGGTGAGAACCAAGCTGCTTTAATGGGTAGCAGGAAAATAATCACATGCATTTATCAGGGGACTTATAATATGATGGCTGGAATGTCCAGAAGTGATGGAAACATTTTCAACTGTAAATTACCAAAATCCCTTACAGAGATGGCTCTTTAGTTTGGCAAACTGCTCTGAGATAGAGCCAATTACTATCAATATACTGTGACATGCGTCAGACTTGTAAAAGACTTGTGTTCAAAATACAAAGTGGTGATATAGTGCTTATAAGTTACTACCTTTTATTTTAATGGTTTTTTTTACATAGGAGCAACAGCTGCAGCTCGAAAGGAAGTTATTAGGAACAAGATCCGAGCAATAGGAAAGATGGCCAGAGTGTTCTCTGTCCTAAGGTAGGACTTCTTTTTTTAAGTTGCCAGAATGCTGTGTCGTTGCCCAGTTAGTAACTTTTTGATGCTTCAGCATGCCAATCAAACAAGATGCATTGAGCTCTTTTGCAAAGTGCTATCCAGCGTTATCTGTGAACAGTCAATTGCTAATATTCTGAAATACCAAGTTCCTTCTGCAGCACTTCTGTTAAACTTCCTTTAAAATTCTCAACATCCAGAGTTTTTTATTAAGAACCTTTCTCTACAAGTGTACAGTTCACTCTGTTAGCCACTCGGCTATGAGAGTTCAATGCGGAGAGAGTATGCGAGGCGTAACACATGTCTCATTAAAGAGGAAGCGTCCTGTCACACATTGTCACCCATTTCAGTTGCTGCTACTGTGACTATGTTTAAAGATGAAAGCATCAGGTTCATTTAACTAAAACTCCAGGAAATGAGCACAAACAATAGCAACTTGTTACCCTTGATCTCCATTGCTCCAATAACACATGAGCAGGAGGAACTAATTGCTGCCTAATGTTTAGAACTTTCTAGCTGATGTTTCTAAGTAGAATAGAAAACATACAGTACAGTGCTATTCTTACAGCTCTTTCTGGAAAACTCATTTTCTTCCTCTCAGCAGAAGGAATTTTTCCTCGTGCAATTCTGCAATTCTTTTATAGCTATTGCAATTAATGCAAAATGTTTGTTTTTTCAAGTGTGTTTCTTAATGTCATTTGATGTGATATTTTTTTTTTCAAGTAAGGGGCATGATTGGCAAAAAAACAAATATTTGAAGGCTACGCTCAAGATTACAGATGACGTTAACTGGAATCACTTGATTGTGTCCTGCAATTTACAATGAGTGGGCAGTGTGGGCACAGCTGGTGGCCCATGTGTTGCAGACTTCAGAATCAGGGTCTTAAATAGCATATTGAGACAGAGGACTTTGTACCATAATCTCCAAGAGTAGACTCTGTGGCACCCAGCTTATGTTTCTGAGCATCTTTTATCGTGGAAAAGGATTAATAAAAGTCTAGACTAAAACCTACAAAAGAGTTTGATATTGGATGCTCATCTGATTTATTTGGTATTTAATAATACACTAACAATTTATACTACATGGTACAGACTTCAAGAGTAACTAATGGTGCTCAGTTGGAGGTGGTTCAATTCTTGTGCACCTAGTCTGATCCCTTAAAGACGTCTGATTTTCACAGTTTCAACGCTTTCTGAAAACCAGCCTCCTTTTAAATACTGTATTTCAATTAGGGCAAAATTTGAAGCATGCTTGAAAATCCTGGTCTTACGTGTACAACATCTTTCATCACAAAGATTCCAAATTACTTTAAAAGAAGTATATCCACAAGAGATTTCATAGAATCATAGAAGATTAGGGTTGGAAGAGACGTCAGGAGGTCATCTGTTCCAACCCCCTGTTCAAAGCAAGACCAGCCTTCATTTCTATTGCCTTCTGCATCAGAGATGGTTGCATTTCTGTATCTCTGGAAGATCACAGCACACTGCATAATGGTACAGAAGGATGGGGAATTGTGGTACCTGATTCTTCAAGCTGTTGAGCATGCTAAAGTTAGTGAATATTGATGGCACTCAGCTCCTTGCAGGAGCAATTCAGTGCTTTTCAGGTCTGGACCTTTAATATCCATAAAGAGCAGACACAACTTTGGTATTGAGGACTATGCCTTTAAGGGCTGAGCTTCCTAGACAGAGAATCTGGGTGGGGCACTATGAAGCTCTTGTTATCCACAGCCAATTAGAACCAGAGTCATAATAAAGCAGATCTGTTGTTAAGCACCTTAAGCACTGCGGGCTATGTTATCAGCTAACATTTTTAGGCATGTAGAAAACCACTGTAATCCACAAAACCTGAGTTAGGTGCTTAGGCTCCCTATACAATGGTTAGGGAGAGGTAGGTCTTTCAGAATATCACAAAAACCAGCATGCTGGGCAGCTCTCTGTCTCAGCTGGCATGGGCGATGCCAAGAAGAACAATGTCTCCTAAGCCCTGCCCTTCTCAGGGAGATGAGTACCTAAGTCTGAGCTGCAGGAGGTGCCTCCTTCTGCTTGGGATTCTTGGCGGAGAGGGAAGAGGAGGAGGACAAAGACGATTTCCCTCATAACCTTTAGCCCTGAGGTTAGGGTACTCACTTGGGATATGGGAGACCGCCCAGTTCAAGCCCTCCCCTCCAGGTGAGGGGGTAAAGATTTTGGAGCAGCCCAAACCACTGGGCTTTAGGGTATTCTGATTTGGGGCTTCCTCAGACTCTCCTGTTGAAGCTGTTCCACTGCGGATAAATAATTTTAAAAGTCATTGGAGCGAGGGGGACTGGATCCTGGTCTCCCACCTCCCAGGTGAGTTCTCCAGCCACCAGGCTACAGAGTCATTCTCATGCTTTCACATACGTGTGCTCTCTCTCTCCCCCAAACACTCTTTCATTATTTACAGTGGAGCAGCTAGAGATATCAGAATACCCTATAGAGCAGTGATTAGGGCACTCCACCTGAGAGGTGGCAGATCCCCGTTCAACTACCTTCTCCCCTTCATTCAGAGAAAGGACTTGAACCGAAGGTCTCCTGCATCCCAGGTGAGTACCCTAACCACTGGGCTAAAAAGTTATGAGGAATGTCCTCTTAATCCCCCTGGCACCACTTCCTTCTACCAGCCATTTTTGAGTGAGCTCACCTGCAGGGGCCCGATCCAGTAAGCAAACTCAGAGCACACTTACTGGATCAGGCCCCACAGGCAAGTTAGGCAGAGGAATGCCCCTATTTCCCCAGTCCATGAATCGCACTGGGGTTTAGGCATCTGGATGCCTAAAGTGAGGCTGCAGCATGCCTGGCATAGGCACCTAGGGATCTTATACTAGAAAAATGTAGGCAGCCAGTGGGTTTAGGTGCCTACAGAGTTCTGTAGTAGCTGAGAAGGCTTGTGTGAATATCAGTAGGGCTTGATTCTGGGATTTAGGCACCTAAAGTGGCAGTTAAGCACCTAGATCCTTCTGTGAATCTAGTCCTGAGTGATCACTGAACATTACAACAACCTTGTGTTTTAAGGTCTTGTTAGGATAACCCAATTACAATAAATGGCATATGGAAGCCAATTTGTCTGTATGAATAGAATCCTAGAAATGTAGGGCTGGAAGGGGTCTGAAAACATCATCTAAACCAGGGGTCGGCAACCTGCGGCAGGCATGCCAAAGGCAGCACGCGAGCCGATTTTTACTGGCACGCTGCTGCAGGCCGGGGTCCCGGCCTCCAGCCCTGCTCAGCCCACTGCACACCTGGGTGAACAGAACCCCCAGCCGGCAGCAGGCTGAGCCGAGCCGCCGGCCAGGACCCCGGCTGGCAGAGAATGGCAGCGGGCTGAGTGGTCTGGGTTCCAGCTGCCGGCCCCTTGCCAGCCGGGGTCCCGGCCATCGGCCCCGCTCAGCCTGCTGCCAGCCTGGGATACCAGCTGCCGGCCCCGCTCACCTCGCTGCTGGTCTGGGGTTCCAGCCACCCGACCCCCTGCCAGACGGGATCCAGGCCTTTGGCCCTGCTCAGCCCTCCTGCCAGCCTGGGGTACCAGCAGCCAGCCCAGGGCTCTACTCCTGGCCTGGTCCCAGCGCTCTGCAGCCCTTATCAAAAATTACACTACAATTAGCTTAAAAACTTGAAAACTTAAAAACTTAAAATTACTTGTATATTACAGTAATCGTTAAAACATATATAATGTTAATAAATACATAGGTTTGATGAAACAAAGTAGTTGTACTTACGTGCCTGTGCTTAATTTGTGTTTTCGATGATTTACCTTCTAAAAAAATCTGGCATGTCTCGCACCCCCAGAAAGGGCATCTTGCATCCCAGGTTAAGAACCACTGCACTAAACTAATCAGATCTGCATTTTAATTTAATTTTAAATGAAGCTTCTTAAACACTTTAAAAACCTTGTTTTCTTTACATACAACAATAGTTTAGTTATATAATATAGACTTATAGAGAGAGACCTTCTAAAAACGTCAAAATGTATTACTGGCACGCGAAACCTTAAATTAGAGTGAATAAATGAAGACTTGACACACCACTTCTGAAAGGTTGCCGACCCCTGATCTAAACCTTCCCTCCATGCTGAGGCAAGGCCATCCTTGACAGGTGTTTGTCTAACCCTTTTCTTAAAAACCTTCAATGGTGGGTATTCCACAACCTCCCTTGGTAACCTTTTACAATACTTAACTATCTTTATAGTTAGAAAGTTCTTCCTAATATCTAATCTAAATCTCAGTTGCTGCAGATTAAGCGTATTACTTGTTGTCCTACTGTCAATGGACATGGAGAACAATTGGAGATTATCATCCTCTTTATAACAACCCTTTACACGTTTGAAGTCTGTTATGAGGTTCCCCCCTCAGTCTTCTTTTCCCAAGACTGAACGTACCCGTTCTTTTATATTTTCTTCAGAGATTGTTTTTTGAACCTTTTATAATTTTTGTTGCTCTCGTTTGGACTCTCTCCAGTTTGTCCCCGTCTTTCCTAAAGTATGGCACCAAGAAGTGGACAGAGCACTCCACCTGAGGCCTCACTAGTGCCGAGAAGTGTGGAATAATTACTTCCCACATCCTACATATGACACTGCAGTTAACACACCTCACAATGATATTAATCTTTTTTTGCAACTGTATCACATTGTTGACTCATATTCAATTTGTGATCCACTATAAACCCCAAGATCATTTTCTGTAGTACTACCACCTAGCCAGTTATTTCCCATTTTGTAGTTACACATTTGATTTTTTTTTCCTTCCGAAGTGTACTACTTTGCACTTGGCTTTATTTAATTTAATCTTGTTGTTTTCAGACCAATTCTCCAAATTGTCCAGGTCATTTTGAATTCTAATTCTGTCCTCTAAAGTGCTTGCAATCCCTCCCAGCTTAATGCCATCCACAGATTTTATAAGCATACTCTTCACTCCATTAGCCAAGTCATTAATGAAAAATATTGAATTGTACTGGACCCAGGACAGTCCCCTGTGGAACTCCACTAGATGTGTTGTCCTGGTTAGATGGCAAACCATTGATAACTACTCTTTGAATATGGTTTTTCAACCAATTGTGTACTCACTTTATAGTAATTTCTTCTAGATGATATTTCCCTAGTTGCCTCATATCTGCCACTCTTTTGTGGACATGGGTTGGATAGAGGTCACACTAGGACCTGGGACCACCCCCAATTTCTGGTGTCTTTTGACCATAGATCTTCACTTCTACTTATTTAAGTCTCTGCTGCCTCTTAAAACTATTTTTAGCTAGTTCCAAAAAAGCCTTTTTTAGACATCCAGAAAATCATATACTACTGCACTTCACACACAGTGTGAACACATCCGGATCATCAGCTTCTGAGCCAGAATAGCCATAACCTCCTTAGCTATACACCGTGAAGGTGAGTTGACACATTGCCATTTTGACATAACTTGGATAGAAAGCTGCTTTCCACATATGTGAAGCTCATAAAGTATAAGATCCACCTCAAAATCAGGGGATAAAATGGCATTTCACTCTTTTGCTAATTTCCCTAAGAAAAAGTCGTCATACAAAGGTAGGTTTAGGATACATCACATAATGCCACAAGTGCCACCATTTCTACATGACATCAGTGCTTCATGATAGGACCACATAAATAATTTCAAGTGAATTATATTTTTGTGATCATATTTTTATGGTGGAAATAAAATACCTGAACAGCAAAAGAAAAGGAAAAAGAAGGCTATGCTGCAATTCAGGGTTAGCAAAAAATACTGTGTTACAGTAGGTGCTTGAGAAATACCCGATATATTCTTAATTCATCAAAACAGAAATGGCAGGAAAATACTGTTTACAAACACCCTGCAAAGGTAAATCCATAAGAAATATTGGAATCCTTTTCCAAGATCAATCACAAATGAGGCGAAGTGACAATTCAAAACGCAGGTTATGAATTTTCTCTCAGAAATAGATTATCAACTGAGGGCTCTCAACCTTGCTTGGTGTTTAATACCCTTTAATGTGATACAAATGCAGTGTTAATTCTGCTTGACATTCAAATCTTTGCTTGTGCCCTGATTGGAGGATAGAGGAAGAGAGAATCTGACTTGGGTTCTTAAATCATGAAAACAATCTGCATAATCTTCAGGCTGTAAATAGAATCTAAAATGGATATGCTGCAGGGGAAAGAGACAAGCTCTTAAATAGAGAAATCTATGGGCCCTGCATTATTACTAAACAAAAACAATACTTACTTGACAGCTCTTGGTGTTAGTGGAGAAAAATACATTACCATCTAGTTCACTTGGGGCCAAATTCTGCATTTGTGTGTGTGCATTTTGGCTTCCATCAAATTAACATAATTTCACATTTCAAAGAAAAATGCATCAAAATTTGCTTCTCTTAAAGAAATTGGGGCAGTTTTCAGTTTTTGCTGTAAGCAAGTATCAATTCAAACAACATTATACTTCTTTAAAGCAATATTGAGATTCTTTTCAGGTTGTTCAGTCATTGTGATGAGGAGTTCTTCCTTATGCTGTTCCTCGTGCATTCAAAATGATACTTTACACTCCTATATTTGGAAACCTGCAAAACTCACTCCTCAAATTTCCTAAAATGATTTTCCTTGAGTGCATGAACTAAGCTAATTTACTGTCATTGTCACAGTAGCAGTGGTGAAGTTAAGACTAAAACTTCCCATCAACTTAATGCTTTTGCTTATTGCTGGGTACCTTATAATGACTGACAATCAACTGATTACGTCCCTGGCTATTAGTCTAGATGATGGTTAAAAAAAGCCCTGATTTGGGAGAGTGTAGCATAGGAAGGGGTTAAATGTGTTGCTAACAAATGCTATTACTCCTCTCATCCCACTGCTCCCATGTTGATGGCTTAGAGAAGGGGTGGCCAAACTTACTGACCCTCCGAGCCACATACGACAATCTTCAGAAGTTTGAGAGCCGGAGCTTGCCTGCTGAGGCTTGGGGCTTCTGCCCTGCAGGAGGCACCTACCAGGGCTCGGCTTCAGCCTTGCACCTGCTGAAGCCCTGAGCCCCGGCAGGTGCGCCCCACGGTGCTAAGGCCCTGAAACCCACCTCCCCGCCGGGCAGAAGCCCCTACCCCACCACCCTGCTGTAAGGCAGAGTTCCCGAGTTCTCTTCCCTCCCCCACAGTCAGGTAGGTGGAGAATGGGGGGGGGCAGTCCACGAGCTGCACTTTTAACTGTAAAAGAGCCGCGTGTGGGTCGCAAGCCAGTTTGGCCACCCCTGGTTTACAGCAACACTACAGTGTCTCTATATATTTGCATACTTACTTCTACAGGGCCAAGTTACATTATTAGCTGAATAACAGCCCACATCCAGTACTGTGCAGAGGACCTGGGCAAGACCTATACGCCACTTGAAACCTCAAGTAGGGCATAAGTGAGACTTCAGTGGTGCCTCATGCAGGCCCTTTGCACAAGGGTGAATTTTGCCCCCTGGAAAGACAGCCTAAACATTAAAATGGCACTAAGATGAGGATGCAACTTGTATTGTTGAATGTATTTTCCTCAGTCCAACCGCTTGTGTTCCAATCCTAGAAAAGAAAAAATACTGATTTTCTTTTTCCTCTCTACAGAGAAGAGAGTGAGAGCGTGCTGACACTGAAAGGTTTGACTCCAACAGGAATGCTGCCCAGTGGTGTACTCTCTGGAGGGAAGCAAACTCTGCAAAGCGGTAAGCATTTTTGTCTTTGTGTGCCATTACATGTATGAAACGATAGACTGAACTGCAGATGCCAAGGAAAAATAATCACAATCTTTCAAAGGAAAAAATTAAAGTACAAAATAAAACAGATGGTTTGTAGTACTTGCTCCTTTGTGAGTAGTTCTTATAAGGCCACTTTTCAAGACTTATTATGTCCCACTGATTTTTAGAGAGAGAAATCAGAAAATAAACTTTACAAACATGATAAATCAGCATTACCTATAAAGGTACTTTCGATTACACACAGTTCATAGAAGAAATAAAATAGAGACTATAAAAACTCTTTTGCTATTTGCAGTACTGCAGATTCAGCATAAATAATGACAATCAAACTGTATTCTGTCTATCTTCTCCTTCCTCATTGAGAATCACCAACAAAAATAGTTCTAGAATTGGAATTTATCTTCTGACGATTCTAAATGATGATGTAAGAGGTACATAAAAGAAAGCAATTTCACAATCTGCATGAATCTGAAGTAAGGGATTTATTAATACTCTGGTCACTATGTATGCAAGCACAATACACTTTTTCTTTCCAATTTTATAGCAAGGCATGTTACAGGGATATTGTAAGTATGTAGCAGGGATACATTTGATGTAATATTCCTCTTGGAATTTGGAGTTGCAAAAGAGTGTTTAACATTACTATATGCTCTCTTTTTTTTTGTTGATTATCATTCAATATATGCCAGGCACCCAAGAATGTTTTATATTTCTATAATATAGTTCTGTTGTCAATACATGTGAGAAATGGAAATTCGCTTTATATTTTTAACACAATCTCAGCCTCTTATTTTCCTGTTTCCTTCCTGGAGTATTCTTTCTCTTTGTATTTTTCCCTTTACTGTCTCTTTTCTCTTACCTAGAAGATTCAGGTATTCTGTGGTGTGTTTTTTTTGTTTGTTTGTTTGTTTGTTTTTGGGCGGGAGGAGGGGAGAAGGTTGTGACTTGTGTGTTACACAGAGAGTAATGTTCTGCTTTGAAAATGCTGCAATATGATTCACCAGAATGCCCATTTCAGTAGAATTATGGTCTTTATTCAGGCTCTTCTCATTATCGTTTCTTTAGACTGGTCAGAGAATTTGGTCCAAGGAAAATGTTATTGTCATCCAGTGAAAAAATTAGGAACCGAACTAACTTAGAATGTTGCCAAAAAATTCTAGTTAAGATGGCTAAAAGGAAAATCCCCTCATACTGCAGCATTCTGGCTTAGTAAAACATTCCTATACACAAACCATTACATTAGTTAACACAGAGTACGCCATTCACCAACTATTCTGATACCTACATAGTATGTTAGCACATTTTCATAGTACTATATGTATTAACAGAAAATTTGACGAATAAGTTCTGTGGAAGTACACATTTTAGTAGTTATTATTTATTTCTAATGTGTCGGTGCTACTTTGGATCCGGTTACTCATCTTAAATTCTAACCACAGTCATTCTATTTCTTTTAGTTTTTGTTTCATTTTTGTTTCTATTTTTCAAGTCCCTTGATTTACCATCCTCTTACTTTTTAGCCTGCAAGATATAGGCTCACTGTGGTATGTGTGGATTCCCATGGGTGACTTCTCCATGCAACAGGATGACAATATACATCTCTTAGCATTGATCTCAAGCTATATTTAACATAACTACAAAAAAAATTACTTTTATTTTAAAAAATCATCTCAAGTTGAAGAAAAGGGGAAAAGCTAAAAGCTTTGACTCTTAATCTGTTTTCTAAAGTAGTAGTCTTTTTATCAACATTTCTTAATAAATATCTTGGCTGTGCCATCAATATGTTAGATTGCATTTCCTGCCCACTTCAGCCTCTGAGTCTCTGGCTGTAAGAACAAATTCAAACTGACTGGTTATTTTTAATAGGGATATTTTTTTTAAAAATTGATCAACAACGGTGTACATTACAGAGCAGCAACCTCCTAACCATAAAAGTTTCTTTTTCTGACCGAACTATTATTTTTTTGCTACCAGCCGCCTTAAATTTCATATTTATCCCTACAGTGTGTTAAATACCATCTGATTTAAAATGTTAAAAATGCTTGGATTTCAAAGATGATGGTATAATGAGGGAGGTATGCAGATAGAGCTGGGACATGCATTGATACTGAGCTAACTTGCAAGTAAAAGAGACACAGTTTGTATTAACCCTCTGTCTTATTGTTTTGGTTTTTTAAGTCAGGAAAGAGAACAAATATTTATATTACAAATTGTAAATTTTGCCCTTTTCTCTTAAATGACATTTCACTCCTGTGCAGTACTAATAGCAACTAGTTTTCTCCCAACTGAGATAATAAATGGTGTGAATTTCTTCTGCTGGCTTTATGCCACTTCCCTCCCGCCCTTTTTGACACATTTTTTGGTAAATGCTGCAGTAGTTTTACAGCACACTGTGTAGGTCAGATGCACAATATGGAAAATATTTTTGTCAACTTCTTTGAGTTAAAAGAAAATTTGTCAAGTTTTGTTTTTTCTTAAAGTTTAATTTGTGAATCCTTCAGCTTCCCAAAACATTTTCTACAGCTCAAACCAGCCTGCAAACTAGACTTTTTCTGTTCCTTGTGTAGCATTTCTGTGTTGTCTTCTGTGCCGAAATCCAGCACTTACAGTAACATTAGTTATTAGCTCCTTTGCTATTCACTGACTTGTTCTTAGAGTTAAAATCCTCTGCTCATTTTTCTCATTCGTTTTGCTACCCCCTTTCTTCCCTTCAGCGACTGTTGAGGCTATTGAGGCTGATGAAGGTAAATTGGCCAGTCCCCTTTCTGTTGTTGCTGCAACAGATAAGGGCTCTGCTGGGTGTATTCATTTTGCTGTAGCTTGTACAGAGTGTGTGGGTGTGGGCTAACAATTGTGGCTCGGTATTAACCAAAGTATACTTGCTTTAAAGGGGAAAGTCTTTTGTTGTGTTTTTTTTCTTAAAGGTACAATGATGTTCTAATTTGTGTACATTAAACTAAGTACTGAGTAGTGTCACAAGGGGACGAGGGGACTTTTAGCTGAGGGGACACGGCAGCTGTTAGTAAATGCTCTTTGACACATAGCGCATAAGCTGTATTCTTAGGGCTGAATCATTTCTCTGCCTCAAATCATTTTCTGCTATCATTGATAAAGAAGAAAACACGCAACTTTATAAACATGTTTGGGGGTGGCGGGGCTGAAGTCACTAGTAAAAAAAAATAATTTTGAATGGTTCTTTGTTACAGTTCAACATGTTTTTTATGTCTCTCTAAAAAGTAAAACAACATGAGACATTTGTCTGCAAGATGTCCGTTTCTTCTGGTAGTGTCAGTTAATGTACTGGGTATTTATATTAGAGCAACCATTAGCACCAGCACCATCTAAGCTACAGATCTAAAAAGACTGGCTGCCTCAGAAGATTTATGAATGCTCAGTATTGCAAACTTTGGTGCTTTATTGATGATCCTTTTAATTTAATCCACATGCGATTTTATTAACCATACTGTTAATATCTAACTTTATATTTAAATATGTATATACAGTATGCAATCAGTAATAAAAGTTTTGGAAGAAGAATTTCAAAGTTCCCCTTTAAAACAAAATTCTTTTCAGTTGTATTTTGTTCTTGCCCCCCTAAAAAATAGTTGACTTTTTAGCAAAAAACAAAATCTCATTGTCATGGTCTTTTGGTATGATGTTAAAAGTGCCTTTTTTGGCCATTTGAATTTGTTTTTGATCTGTATAAAGCAGGGAACATAATTGTAGAACAAAATAAGTAAGAGAAAATACAACTGCTTTCTAAATAGCAGTGAGTGAGCTGCTATTTATGTTGGAATTATCTATTCCTATTGGCAAATTCTAATCTGCAGTGTGCATTCTCGTTGACAGTTTGGCTGTTTTCTGTGATTTCTGTGACTATGTGTCGTGTTTAGTATACTCTCAGTGTCAAGTGCTAATACTCGTTGTCTGACCAGCAACTACAGCAGAGCACATTCTTCAGCACTAAGGTTTATAATATGTCTGCTTGAAATAAAACTGATTGAATGCAAGCCCCATTCCAGGAATATTCATTCTTCAAGTTATTCCTTCATTTGCCATTATCACTGGGTAGCCACTCTAGCCATACATATTTTTACTAAATAAAGCAAACAAATGCCAGATAAAAGGTTATTTCCCCATATAAGCTAAAAACAACAACACTGTAGTTGTTCACCAGGGCCTGATCCTGTGAGATGATCAGCACCCACAACTCCCAGTGGGCTGAGCACCTTGAAGGGTCAGGCTGCAGAAGAGGAGACAAGATTTCCAGCTTAACACAGTTTAACCCATCCATTAAACTTTTCGTAAGGGTTTGGCATTGGTGTTCATTAGACATATTTATTTTGGGGGTGGAATTAAAGAAGAAGCTTTGCTGTGGGCCTTGCCCTCTTTCCACTTCTCCTCCCCCTTCAATTGAGTAATCACCATTATGTTAAATTAGTATATGTTAAAATAGAATATGCAAAAAAAACCATGCACATCAAAGTTTACTTGAAATATGAAACATCCATTAAATTGGTTAAAGAAATTAATCCTGAGGAACAAATTAGTGCACACACTTGCACAGGAATGGTTGGCAAAATTTCAGCATGACAGCTGCTTTCCACGCTCCCCACAAAATTCAGTGAGTGGTATGTTGGTACCAGGGACTTATTTGTAAGAGGTACTAAGAAGAAAAGTGCTAGCCGCTTCAGAGTTGGGAGAGGATGCTGAATTTACAGAAACTTTTCTTTTTGGTAGAGTGTGGTTCTGTTGGGTCAGATTGGGAGGGGAAATGTTTATCTCTCAAACTGCTTTACCTTGTTGTCCCGGCGAGTTTGCAGGTTCCTGGTACTAACACACCATCTCTGCTATATGGCATGTTAAGGTAGAAGTATAACAAAAACGCAACCAACGTTCTGGAAATACGGTAAATTGATTTGATTTTGAATAGACGAGAAAAAGGCATGGAAGGCTACAATAAGTTATATTAATGGCTGTCAACAACTCTTTGCCTACATTGCCTTTTTCTCTTCTGTTTTAAATAGATGTATCTTCAAAAATAAGTCCTGTAATACAATAGTTGTATCAGATTCTAAAGATACTTTTGCCTAATCTGTGGACACCTGCTGAGATCAATGAAAATGTACTTGCTGAAGGACAGATTCATTGACTTTTTAAATTCAGTTATTGGGTCCTATGCTGATATATTTTCAACATTAAGAGGAACAAATATGCCAGAAGAATATTTTTAGTCCATGTCATACTGAATTACTCCAGTTTAACCAAATTACTTTCTAGGACCCAGGTGATGACAGGGAAAGTTACTGCTCTTGAGTAACACATGAGCAGTTCATCCGTGATTAATAAATTGTAAGGCATTCCAAAAGGATTATAGAACTATCCCTGTTTGATATCTTTAATGTGTATCCATCAAATTGATCACTCTGTGCCATACATGATTTCTGATTGGCACAGTATGTAAGTCTTTATTCAGTCCTTACTCCAAAAATAAGTCCTTGAAAGTCCATGGGATGTTTGCCAGAGTAAGGATGCTAAGGTTGGACACAATGTTTGTAAGGCTTTAATTTATTACAACGAAGTATAGATAGATAGTCGTTTTGCCTTGAGCAATGCTCATAATTACAAATTGTAGCTTCATGTCAGCTTCATAATATTTTAAGACAAACTCAAGTGGACAAAAAAAATATTAGAATTTAATCTTGTTGAAAGACATTTGGTTTGCGAGAGACATTGGTTGTTAATTTTTCAGTTTTTTCTAAATACGGTAAGAAGTCTGTTGTGCTGTCAGATTTTTGTCATTTTGTTCATCACAATGGGGGAATTTCTCAGCTATTGACTGTTGATAAATTGATAAAATACCAACAGTTTGACTTTGCTAACTTCCTTCTTTTTTTTAATAATCCTTTATTTAGCTATCAAAGGATTCTCACCACAGCATAAGATCACTAGTTTTGAAGAAGCCAAAGGCTTAGATCGAATTAATGAGAGGATGCCTCCACGCAGAGATGCCATGCCATCTGATGCCAACCTTAACTCCATCAACAAGGCAATCTCTTCAGAGACTAATGGCACTGACAGCAATGGCAGTAATAGCAGTAATATTCAGTGACCACTTCCTGTTTTTTTTAGCTGCAGGGCATGATGGGATTGCTGCACATCAACAGTTGGATGTTCTTGCCTCTGATAATAGCTTACTTGCTCTGGGAGCCAGGTGTTGGAGTCAGTTTACAATATCATCTAAGAGGAGATCGTAAACTTTATTTTGGTGGGTGGGGGGTGGGGGCCAAACACCTCCTTTGGATATGCCTTTAAAATGCTTATAGAAATATGAAAGCTAATGCTGGTATATATTGCAAAGTTAGGGGAATTGAACATGTTTTCCTACTGCATTGGGAACTTCTAGATATGTTACTGAAAGGCCTTTTATTATGTTACTGGACATGAAAACTTTGTCTAATTTCTTACTAACTATTGTACGTTTACAGTTGCAGCACTAAATATGGATGACATCAAAACATTTTTAACAAAATGATGTACAAACTAAATAAGGACTATTTATTGATAATGTTTTGCTACTCTTGTCAGACAATGGCTATAAAATAAATTAGGCAGTCTTTAAAAATATAAAAACAGAATGTTGCAAATTTGTTAAAAATGCCAAAAAAGGAAAAAAAAAAAAAAAAAAAAGAGAGAGAGAGACAGTTTAATTTTGTACAGATTATGCTTACCTCAGGTTTCTTTAGTGTGCTTCAATGCCCTTCTTTAAATATAACACTTATCTTACTAATTTGGCAGCAAATATCTTTTTCTTCAACTTTAAAAAAAAAAAACTGGAATTATTATAATTTTTATTTTTTTTTTTTTTTGTTTATATTTAGGGGTTTTTTGTTTTTTGGGGGGCAGTTTTTCGTAAATCAAGTCTTGGTTGTGGCTTGCTGAATTTAAATATTTATGAGTGGTGCATTTTTAAGTATAGTGAACAAGACACCATATTAAGTGCAGTGAAAAGCATCTATATTCTGTAAAAATCTGCCTATGCATGTTTTTTAAGAAAAAAAATTGGCTGTATAGGCCTGTATGGGACTGTAATGCGCTTAGTGGTCTGACTTATACTGGAAATGTATGTATACTGGCGTACTTTATATTCTCTAAAAAAAAATGCTTAATGCCTTTGAAATTTTGTAATCAAAAAGAGCTTTGAAAAATCTAAGGGGGAGAGTATTCTTAAAAAGTTTTTAACATAAGCTTGTCAGTGCACATATAGATGGTTAGCATGTTTAGCAAACCTTGTGAAATTTAAATAAGTTTGTAGTTACATGTGAAACTCTAAATGCATGATAACTGTTAATGTCATAATGGTTTAGTCATTTTGTTATGTTCTGTCATGTGCCACAAAATGTGTAATTTTTTCACTTTTTTCCCTTTGTATATCAGTTACGGGTTACAAATGGTTCATTCTAAAAAAGAAAAACAAAACAAAACAGTCCATTGATATTTTTTAACAATTGTATAAGTGCCCAAGTAATTCACTACAGCCTACAGCCTTGCCTTTGTAATTTGACTTCTGAAATGTTGGCAATCAAAGCATGCACTTGTAACAATGAAAAAAGCATTTTATATTACTACTCAATAAAAATGTGCATGAATTTAAGGTGCTTTTCTCTCTCTGGCTGAATCTCTCAAGTATGCAAGCATCCATGCTCCTACACACACCTTATTCTCATTGTTTCCCCTTTTTTTTTTTAATACAGGAGAAAAGACATCCATTTAGGAGAAAAAAGCCACAGGATGGTTTGAAACTGCTAGTGAAAGGTCATCCTTTTACTAAAGACAAAATAATTTATTACCAAGTCGTTTCAGCGTTATCGGACATTTCAACTGTAATAAAGAGCTGAAAACTGCCATTATTTCTGTTTCAGAGTAGCAGCCGTGTTAGTCTGTATCCGCAAAAAGAACAGGAGTACTTGTGGCACCTTAGAGACTAACAAATTTATTAGAGCATAAGCTTTCGTGGGCTACAACCCACTTCTTCGGATGCATATTGAGTGCATATTATTTCTGTTTTTTCCCCAAAATTCCAAGCCAAGTTGTTTTTCTCCTACACTGTGTACTGTGTACTGCAACTATTCTGACAAACAATGTGAAAAATTTACTGTGCCCTATTTCACTGCTCTTTCTAGTGTCTTATATTTCCAGTACACTTTCTTCTTTCCAGCTAACATCATTGCAGATTTAGCATGCGGCAACAGATAGTGTATTTCTGCGCTGTATCCAGGCTGCATGTTCTGATTACCCTCTGTTGACATAGGCCTCCAAAGCCTTCTATGTTGAAGCAAAGCAACGCTTCTTTTTTAGATTTCTGAATAGAAATTCACATCGACAGAAAGTTTATGGAATTAACCCTGAAGTAGAACATGAAGATACTCTTCTTCTATTCTGATCATTTAAAAAAAATCCAGTTGAAATCCTAAATTCTTCTTTCTTTTTTCTTTTTTTGTTTTGTTTTGTTCTGGCTTGTAAATTATGAAGATATAATTGCAGTTGGTGAAGACCTCTCTCTCATTAAAAATGAACAAGTGGAACAGACAAATCTTAGACACGTTCCTAGTTAGTTCTATTCTGCACTTAGAAAGCTGAAATAGTGTAATTTCTAATGACACTTAAGAACTCTTCGAGATGCTGAGATTTAAAACCTTCATTTTGTTCAAACATATGAAATTTAAAACCTTCTGTCTGGCTTCTTACTCATTTTTGTGTCCTTCGTCTTTCCTCTACTTCCAAGTCTCTTGTGCTGTTATTCGAGCAGGAAATGCCCACAACAGCAATGGTCATCAATATTGCATCGGTTCTCCTTTGAGGTGTCGTCATTAACCATTGATTTGGTGTCTCACTTAACACTAAAAGGTCTGTGTTAATCTGAGTCTCTTTTCCCCATTCACCACGTTTCCTATTGATTTGGCAGAATAAAACATAGGATGAAATCACAGCTGTTCCATGATATCCAGGACTCAGTGATAAGGTAAAAAGAATAATATAAATCTATAATTGGTTTTCGCAGATCACAATCAGAAAAAATAAGTCCTTCAAAGAAGAGGTGAAAAGAGGATAGTTATCCATCTGTTCTAAGGAATAATATTATCAAATGGTCTTTACAAAAAAATTATATGAAAGTTTGCATGAAATTGCAATATAGCTCTTAGCCTGACCAGCCATGCTTATTTACCAGATTATGGACCTTACCAGTGAGCTCAGTCTCAACAGCCAATGCCCCTGATCAGTCAGTGAGTTTACAAGTCTTATCTAACTGGAAATGAAAGTACAGGGAAACAAAGAACTGTAGAGTAGTGAAGGTTCATTTAAAAAACCCTGCACTTTTCCCTATTGGTAGGTGTTTCATGGATGTGGCATAAAGCAAAGCATAGAGTGTAGTCTCAGGGTGTGTGCAAGCTCACACAAAGATGGCTTCTGCTCTGTGCAGGATTGATTCCCTCCGCACTAGATTAGAGCAGTCTGAGGGTTATTCTAATATATGCCATCTGCAAACATGTCCAAGGGGTTAAAAATGCCATTCACAGGTCAGCATGGTACATATCCGCCTGACAACCCCCTTCCCTCCAGCTATGGTTTTTTCTCCCTGCTGCACCAGCTGCCAGAGAGGAGTGCCTGGAGTAAGAGGTCTGTGCGACTAAAGGATTCCCTTAGAATGAGTTGATTCTCCACGGGCTGTTTACACTGGCTTTAGGACCGAATTATGCTGGTGTGGCAGAAAACAGCTGCATTATACCTATGATATGGCCCTGTGTCGTTTCATCTCTACTGCATAAGCCATAATAAAACAAATGGCTGATGCCAACAGCAAGATTTAAAATTTGATTTTTTTCCAACCACTATGTGTCTTCTATAGGGAAAAGGGTTTGTTTCTCCTAATGCTCTTTATGTACATGTTGTGAACAGCATAGTAATATTCCTTGTAAATTATTCAGCATTTTGAGAGGTCACTACTAGGTGTTAACTGTTTCTAAACTCTGTCCAGTGGCCCCACAGAACTGTGCTTGCTACAGTCATATTTGTTAGGCCAGAGTTGCAAACGTCTCATCCAATTTTTCCAGAATTTGGAGTGTTCTGGCTCAGGCCCACTTTTGTTTGCTAGCAAGGACCCAGTGTGAGTTCCCTGAACAGTGTGGATACAGTTTCTGAGAACTGTGCTAGTCAAATCACGGTCAGGAAAGCTGCATTAGTACAGTAGTGTTTGTTAAAATAGGTCTGTTCCCGACTTGGTGAGAGCCTAACTTTGCTGCTTGGGAAGCAAACTGAAGAGGAAGTTCAAACCCAGAAACTATCCTGTTAGGGATGATTTCTAGATTTTTTTTTTTTTTAATGATTTAAAATTACAATAGAACCTCAAAGTTCCGAGCTCTTTGGGAATGGAGGTTGGTTATAATCCTGAAATGTTCATAACTCTGAACAAAACGTTATGGTTGTTCTTTCAAAAGTTTACAACTGAACTTTGACTGAATACAGCTTTGAAACTTTACTATGCAGAAGAAAAATGCTGCTTTCCTTTTATTATTTTAGTAGTTTATGTTTAACACAGGACGGTACTGTTTACACTTTTTTTTTTTTTTGGTCTCTGCTGCTGCCTGATTGTGTATTTCCAGTTCCAAATGAGGTGTGTTGGATAACTGGTCAGTTCGTAACTCTGGTGTTTGTCACTCTGAGGTTCTACTGTAGCTTGGAGATTTCTTAAAAATCTGCATCCTTCCTTCCTCTCCAAGATCCTATGGCTCAGCTTCCAGTCAAAACTGCCAAATCTTATCACTTCCTGTAAAGAGAAGGATGTGAGTGTCTCAGTTTCAGGATAGCTGCACCTTTAATCCTCCTCCATTGTCTACTCAAGGAATGCCCCCTCCAGTATCAGGCCTTTAGTTGTCACCTCTCTCTGGGCAGGGACCTGGATCCCACTACTTCCTGACCAGGGATTTAGGCTTGCAGCTCCTTGCATTTCACTGCAATTAAGTCCAGTCCCTGCTTTTTGCTTTCTTTCCTAGGACAATGACAGTGTCTTACAACTCTTTCAAAGCAGAGTTACGTTTCTTTACAAACAGAAGAATACAGAGAAAACATACAACAATAACAGGATCTAAACACTTTCAGTAGCTCCCCATCAGTCCTATGGAGATCCTGGCAGGTTTGTCTTTCCAACCCTTCAGCAGGGCTGGGTCCACCGTTGGACAAAAAATGATGTGCATTTGCTGAATCAAAACTCCCTTGTATCTGATTAAACTCAGCTTTTTACTAGAAATCCTTTCTTTGTCTCCTGGGGCTTCTGGTACCTTTTTGGACCAGTATGTGCAAACCACCACAGGGAGTGGTACTTCCCAGGAACTGCAGTAATCACCATCCACTGATTTTAGTTCCTGGAGGAGCTCCATGGAGTGAAATATAATCTCTAACCCACAGAGATACATAGAACATTCATAAACTTAATATAATGCAGTCCCTAAAGATATGACATGTGGCTGCAATAGTTGTCACAGAGAGTACCTGCAACTTCAAATTTTAAAAAACAAGCAGAAAACTTTTTTTAAAATAGTTTGCAGCTCTCTTGGATAAAGTAAATTTTATGGAGGTTTTTTTAATTTTTCTTCACAGTTCATTTTTAACAATTGAAGACCGTTAGTTTCACATGTTCAAACTTACTGGAAAACAATATGAAATACACAATTACTAGTAGAACAGATACAGCTGGGATAATGTGTATTTTGTTAAACATTTTTTAAAAGTACATTGAAGTGTCCAGTTACTGTAGTATAGAAAACTAGAGACTGGGAAATTTTTTGCAAT